ATTATTATTATTATTATCATTATTGCTATGTCAAGCGTTCATTTGTAAAAACAGCTTTGTCTTATTTATTTTCACATATCCATTTTTTGTGCATTGAAGCGTTCACTTGCAAAAAAAAAACAATAAAAATGAAGCTGTTGTTTATATTTAGTAACAAAAGAATATAATAATAATAATAATAATTCAAATATGACTATAAAAATGTCATTAGAGCAAGTTGTGGTAAATGCAGAATATAGTGTTTCTCAGATGTATAAACGTATTATGAAAGTGTCTGACCTCCTCCAGGCGGCAGCTCCACATTGAGCAAGTCTTTAAAGCCGCACTCTCTGCCGATCACTCCGTTATACGACACCGCTCGGGACGCGAACACCAGACGACACTTCTTCTCCTCCGCTGTGCCGTTGGTCACGATGGCGAACACGTCAAAGTCGCAGCCCTTCCTGACGCCGCTGGACAGTTTGATGGTGATGTTCAGACCCGTGTTTTGCTTCTCCTGGAGCAGCTTATTCTGATGATTGGCTTTCTCAAACACTCGCCTCTCATCCGCTGAGCCTGGAGCAGCAGAGCAAAAATATCAACCCAGGCTCATAATTGATTTACACACATTTCTGGACAGCGCAAAATACGTCCCAGGAGGTACGTTTATTAGCAGAGGCCGCTGTGTGCACTTTTTGAGATCTCAAATTTCTCTCGCGAGTGCCATTAATGCCTGCTGTTCTCACGTAAATCCACCAGAGGCCACTGTAAACTAACTGACAAACCGACCTTCCCACCATCCTCCTTGCCTAAACAAAACCGACAGTGTTTTAAAAAGCAATGCAGAAAAAGAAAAGCCCCGGCGGCTGCCTGATTTTCACCATGTTTTCAGATCTTACCCTGTTCTCACCCTGTTATTTAGTTGTTTATTTTATGTCTTTTGTTTTACCTGCTTTTTGGAAGAATTCTTCATCGGACTCGAACCCTGTCATTGTGGTAAACTCTTCTCTGCATCAAAAGTCCGCTAATATATGCGGCAAGCTGGACAAACTGGTAACAGCGGGAAAGCAGTCCACATGTAGCTAAGCAGTCAGCTGATAAGTGCGAGAAGGAACAGCGTCACACCGCCCCATAGCATTCGCTTTAAAGACGAAATGCAGCCATGTGTACCTCTGGCTACATATTTCAAGATCTTCAGAAATGTATACGGGGGTACGTTTTCACAATGAGTCTGTGTTAAAAAAACACTCTGACCCACTTTATGTTAAGTAGCCTTAACTAATATGTACCTACACAGAAATTAATCATTTGTTACAATGTCCTTATTGTGTAAATACATGTTTTTACAATGTACTTATGATACTGTATATCTGTAATTGCGCTGTTGTCCATCCCTTACACCTTAACCCAGCCTAAAACCTACCCATACCACCAAACCTGTCCCCAACCCTAATCGTATGCCACCTCAAGAGCACCAGAAGTGCTCTACAATACATTATCAACACAGTAAATACATTGTATTCATTTTTTGATGCAAGTAAATAGCAGTAACACTGAAACAAATACTGAAACATGAACGTTTTACTCAGTTAAAAGCACAAGTATCTATGCTAAAAAAGAAAAAACACACCTTTAAATTACACTCATGTATTAAAAAGTAAATGTATCATACCAAAAAAATAGAGAAGGATTTTTTTAACTCACTCTTACTCGCTTTCCTTTTCAAATAAATACATAAATCAATAAATAAATAAATAAAAATATTAATATTACAGATTTTATTTGCACTCCACTGAGCATGGAGCAGTGGAGATTAGCTTAATTCTTATTATGCACTTTAAATTACCATATTAAATGTGCATAATAAGATTAAAGTAAATAAAATGTTTAAAAATATATTTTTTTTTATAAAAATTTAAAAAGTACAATTAAAAAGTAGCAAAAAGTACCATTTCTTCTTTAGAAATGCATTCAAATAAAAGTACTGCCGCTGTGCTAACATATGTGCATTTGTAGCTCCGCCCTCTTTCGAAAAGAGCACAACCTCATTTGAATTTAAAGCAACAGTCACCAAATTGATTGGATCAAAGCCTATAATGGTCAGTTTCAAAGAGTAATAAAACATTATTTGTGTGGTATTTTGAGATGAAACTTCACACACAGACTCTAGGGACATCAGAGTCTTATTTAACATCTTGTGAAAAGGAGCCTAATAGGCTTCCCTTTAAATAAAATTGGAAAAAGCAAAAAGTGTGCATTCAATAAAAAGTAGTTGAATAGTAATGGAGTAAAATACAAATCCCGCCCCCCAAAAGGATACTTACGTACAGAAATGTACGCAAGTATCCTTTTGGGGGGCCGGATTTGTATTTGTATTTATAAAATATTTTATATTTGAAATACCTTCAGGGTATTTGTAGAGGTGTGTGATGTCTTCTCTCTCGTCTCGGCCGACGCTCTTGGTGCTGATCTTCTGGCCCACTTTCTGGTCATAGTTGATCTTTCTTGTGCTCCCGTCTTTAGACTTGAGGAAGTACACTAAATCTGCGTTCACCTCCGCGAACACGAACGGGGCGTCGTATTTAAAGGTGAGCTCTCCTTCTTTTATGGCCCGTACAGGAACCGGCCCGCAGCAGAACACACCTGAAAAACACATTTCACGTCATGTTCAGTGCTTATTTCAACATGAATGAACTCTTTTAGGCAGATAAAGCAATCATCTCTTAATATAGAGCAATGTCTCAATCAATCTATTATGAAAAGATGGACAAATTTGATTATGGTAATAGTTTTATAATAGTAATGATATGCCTTTTGTGCAACTTAAGTTCTAGTTTACTTAATTTTACTTAATAAGTTTTACTTTTAAAAATAAAAAATTAAAATAACTGAAAAGTGAAACAAGTTGAAAGAAATGCATTTATTTTAATTAAATTAAACATTTAAATTTTATTTTATTAATAACATTTTTATAATTTACTCAATTTATACTTAATTTCAGTGTAACAAAGCCATTTGTTTTCATTTTTAGCGTACTAATAAAATGAAATGTGCACACCTTCACTTTTCTCCTGCGGCGTTGGATCACTTGCCTGCCAGCCATCGAAACCCGGCGGGAGATCGGAACGACCCATCCAGCTCTCGACCCAACAGTGATAGTTCCTGCAGCACATGCAACAATATTCATTCATTCATTTTCCTTTGGCTTAATACCTTATTCATCAGGGGTCCCCACAGCGGAATGAACCGCCAACTTATCCAGCATATGTTTTGCACAGAGGATGCACAGCGGACACACACCCATACACTCTCACATTCGCACCCACACTCACACACTACAGCCAATTCAGTTGATCCAATTCCCCTTTAGCACATGTGTTTGGTCTGTGAGGGAAACCGGAGCACTAACCCAACACGGGGAGAACATGCAAACTCCACACAGAAATGCCAACTGGCCCAGCTGGGGCTCAAACCATCAACCTTTTTGCTATGAGGCCACATTGCTAACCACTGAGCCAGTAAATTAACATTTTTTTATTAAACTGTCCTTTTAATGAAGAAGTCGGTACCATATCATGTCTCTGGTGCTGCTGTGGTCAACTTCTCCTTTCTCGTTGACGTAGCGCTCGATCAGCAGGTTGCTGTTGGTGTCGTGGGCTGAATAATAGTTTGTTACAACTCTGCACGGGATCCCGACAGCACGAGCCACTGACAAAACAAACAACAAGCTGATCAACAGTGTTATCTAATGAACTGCTTCTAACAATGTATAAAATTAAAACATGACACGAGATAAGGGAAGATTTACATGGTTGTGGTCTCATAAAGCAAAACTGATTTCTCAATTAAAACATTAAGAATAATACACTTAGAGCTAAATACTGTACGTAATACTTTTTTTGTGTATATTATAGTTTTTCTGGTTAAAAATGTTTTTTTTTTAAAACTAGGCCAAATGTTAAGTTGTAAAGTAAATCCAAGAGGTTGTAAAAGCCTGACAGTCTTATTAGCATCCTGACTTGTGGCTAACCCTAACGCATAAATAAATAAATAAATAAATAAATAAATAAATAAATAAATAAATAAATAAATAAATAAATAAATAAATAAATAAATAAATAAATAAATAAATAAATAAATAAATAAATAAATAAATGTATAAATAAATAAATGCACAAATAAAAAAATATGTCAATAAATGTATACAGAAATCCATAAATAAATAAATGCATAAATAAATAAATACATGCATAAATAAATACATAAATGCATAATACAATAAATGCATAAATGCATGTATAAATAAACAAATAAATGCATAAATAAATAAATTCATGAACAGTTGCATAAATAAATAAATAATGTATACATAAATAATTGCATCAATAAATAAATGCATAAATAAACAAATAAATACATGCATAAATAAATACATGGATAAATAAATGCATAAATAAGCAAATAAATACATGCAAAAATAAATAAATACATGCATAAATAAATAAATGCATAAATAAATACATGCATAAATAAATAAATGCATTAATAAATAAATAAATAAATACATGCATAAATAAATAAATGCATAATAAATAAATAAATGCATTAATAAATAAATAAATAAATACATGCATAAATAAATAAATGCATAATAAATAAATAAATGCATAAAAAATGCATGCATAAACAAATGCATAATAAATAAATAAATGCATAAATAAATGCATGCATAAACAAATGCATAATAAATAAATAAATGCATGCATAAACAAATGCATAATAAATAAATAAATGCATAAAAAATGCATACAACACTTAAATGCTGCTAGTGATGGCACTTGCATATAAACGGTCTTCTCATTTTATGCTTGAACAACTAAACGAGTCTATTTAACTGATTCTATTTTAATTAAACTACTTTATCCATGCTGTAAAAGAAACATTAACCTTTCACCAGAAGTTTATTGGTAGCTGAAAAACCCTTGCTGTGCATGTAGCCCATTAAGGATCATGTATAAAGGGAGATTGAGAACCTGTGCAGGCGACGGCTGCAAACACCCAGCACTGGCCATACCGCACTGGCAGACACGAGCTCCTGTCCCACGTCCTTAGTATCTGAACGCTTCCTCCCCAGGACATGGGGCTCACGCCGCCGTCAAATGTGTCCCTCCAGCAGCCCTCCAGGACCCCTGAATCCTGGTCATTACTGTTGATCTGGAGGAGAATTTTATCTTTGTCATGATGACAGCACACAATATTTGACTAGATATTTTTCAAGACACTAGTATTCAGCTTAAAGTGACATTTAAAGGCTTAACTAGGTTAATTAGAGTAAATTTAGGGTAATTAGGAAAGTCATTGTATAACAGTGGTTTGTTCTGTAGATAATCCAAAACAAATATTGCTTAAGGGGCTAATAATATTGACCGTAAAATTAAACACTGCTTTTATTCTAGCTGAAATAAAACAAATAAGACTTTCTCCAGAAGAAAAAATATTATAGGAAATACTGAAAAATACCTGAATCTGTTCAACATCATTTGGGAAAAATTAAAAATAAATAAAAGAATTCACAGGAGGGTGAATATTATTTACTTCAACTGTATTGCATGTTTGTGTGTTTAGACTGTACTGACCATAGCACTCAGCACTCTGGTGACATAAATGACGTTTCTGCGTCCAGAACAGTCTTTGGCAGGGTTTCTTCTGTGTTTTGGGTTCATGTCGAGGATCCTGAAACACGCGTCCAGGATTCCCTCCTCAAACTACAGGAAGAAAAACACCAGAGGAACACAATGAAAACATGAATGAATGATGAACATGTTCCTCTCAAATATCTATAAAGAAGAACAGCACAGCAAAACATTTAAATAGATGGAGATTAAACTATAACTATAACTATAACAAACTATAACATTCTCTAAAAACTACTATACTATACTATACCTGCACTGTACTGTACTGTACTATACTATACTATACTATACTATACTATACTATACCATACTATACTATACCTGTACTATACTATACTATACTATACTATACCATACCTGTATTATACTATACTATACTATACCTGTATTGTACTATACTATACTATACTATACTATACTATACTTTACTATACTATACCTGTACTATACTATACATGTATTGTACTATACTATACTATACTATACTATACCTGTATTGTACTATACTATACTATATTATACTATACTGTACCTGTATTGTACTATACTATACTATACTATACTATACCATACCTGTATTGTACTATACTATACTATACTATACCTGTATTGTACTATACTATACTATACTATACTATACTATACTTTACTATACTATACCTGTACTATACTATACCTGTATTGTACTATACTATACTATACTATACCTGTATTGTACTATACTATACTATATTATACTGTACTGTACCTGTATTGTACTTTACTATACTATACTATACTATACCTGTATTGTACTATACTATACTATACTATACTATACTTTACTATACCTGTACTATACTATACCTGTATTGTACTATACTATACCTGTATTGTACTATACTATACTATATTATACTATACTGTACCTGTATTGTACTTTACTATACTATACTATACTATACCATACCTGTATTGTACTATACTATACCTGTACTATACTATACCTGTATTATACTATACTATACTATACCTGTATTGTACTATACTATACTATAATATACTATACTATAACATACCTGTACTATACAATACAATACTACACCATACTATACTATACTATACTTGTGCTATATTATACTATACTGTACTATACCATAATTGTACTATACTAGACTATACTTGTGCTATACTATACTATACTGTACCTGTATTGTACTATGCTATACTACACTATACTATACTTGTGCTATACTATACTATAATATACTAGACTATACTATACCTGTGATATACTATACTACACTATTTTATACTACACTACACTACACTGTACTATACTGTACTATACTGTACTATACTGTACTATACTAAACAACTTCTCAGTGGATTCTTCCAAGAGAATATGATCCAAATGAATACATGTATGCCATATATGTGATTTTAAAATGATTAATTGTACAAACATTTCGGGTCGGGGAGAACTGAATTAATCTAGCCATCCATAAAAATAATAATAATAAAAAAATTATATATATATATATATATATATATATATATATATATATATATATATATATATATATATATATATATATATATATATATATATATAAGTGGATTGAACATAAAACAATTAAGTTCTCCAAAAAAACATATTAATTATGTTATTTTAGCTCAATAACAAGAAGTTAATAAGAAGTTTGAACTACTTTAAAGAAGTAGACTAAAGTAACACTGATCTGGCCTTGCCCTTTGCAGAAATCACACACACATGTGAAATATTTCTCACCGTGCTCTGACAGCTCTACCTTCATTTGTGTCTCTGTGTGAGGCGGTGCTTTGGGCAGAGTTTTTTAGGTTGTGTTTTTCAGGAGGTGAGATCACCATATTGAGAAGAACAATATGTAATTGAGTGTGTGTTTTGGCACCTGTCCAAAGTTCCAGGCCAGCGGGACGGGGTATCCGGCATCGCCCCTGAAGATGATGCCATCCTGAGCCAAAACATACTCCGCCAGCTTCTCCTCATTGTCCATGTACACCACATCAACTGTAGGCCAAAAACACAGAGATTAATGGGGTTGGGGATTGTGCTACCCACTGCGCCTCCGTGATTTTGGACCCCCATTCAATCGAGTAATAACATTTAAACTGATATTTTAGATATTTTGAGAGATTTCAACTAGAAACAAGACACAAATTCTAAGTATGAAGATGTAATCCATTACCTCCAGATCACATTTATCTTAATGCCTCAAGGATACTGTATATCCTCACCTTCAGGCATGTGTGAAACACCCAAACGCATCTGTTTTCACTCACGTGGACACCAGGGATTGAAGAGCAGAATGAATTGGATCTGGATCCGCTCGTCTAGAGTCAGCGTGTAGTGTCCGATTGGAGCATCCGGAGCGGCGCAGATGGACAGACAGACGGATTCTCCTGGTGGACTGGAGACGGCGGCGCTCCAACATGAACTGTCCACCTCTGAGCTCAGGCTGAACACGGCTCTGGTGCCGTATTGCTGCTGCGGATCAGGACCTGTGTGCAAAGAGGGAAAAAAGGGAATTTCAGCTTTACTTGTAATAAAGGAGATACAGTAAAAGTCTAAATTACAAGCCCTGCTGTATATTGTTTTATCCCTAATTTATGTTTAATGGAGAGAAGATTTTTCAGCACATTTCTAATCATAATAGTTTTAATAACTCGTCTCTAATAACTGATTTATTTCATCTTTGCCATGATCACAGCACATAATATTTGACAAGATGTTTTTCAAGACACTTCTATACAGCTTAAAGTGACATTTAAAGGCTTAACTGGGTTAATTAGAGTAATTAGGAAAGTCATTGTATACAGGGCCGGAGTAAGCTGAACTGCCGCTCTAGGCAAAGAACAGTCACGCCGCCCTCTACCCGAAAATGAAGGCGGGGGGTTAGCGAGGGGGCTGACTCCGCCCTCTCTATTCTACCACCCTAGGCACGGATATAACTGAGGGCGCAGGTGGTGAGGGGGGTGTCGGAGACGCCGCCCTCTCTATTCTGCTGCCCTAAGCACCCGCCTAGGTCGCCTCTATGGACGCGCCTGCCCTGATTGTATAACAGTGGTTTGTTCTAGACAATGGGAAAAGAAATCACTAAAAGGGGTTAATAATATTGACCTTAAAAATGGTTTAAAAAAATTTATAGCTGCTTTTATTTTAGCTAAAATAAAACAAATCAGACTTTCTCCATAAGAAAAAATATTATAGGAAGTACTGTGAAAATTTCCTGAATCTGTTAAACATCAATTGGCATCCTGGACCATAAAACCATAAGCATATATTACAGGTTATAATATTAATCATCATCATCATCAGGGCCGGAGTGGGACTCCTTTTCAGCCCTGGAGTTTCAAGCCTCAGACCGGCCCACCTCAGTTCACGACTGATTATATTAAAATAAGGTCATTCCAATTCAGTTTCTAATTACACTATCACGTATTTTTTTGAGAAAACAGCTGCTTTAGAACTTCAAATGTTCAACAACCCTAACAGTATTATATGTCTTAACAATAAAAATGAAAAACAAAAAAACATATTCAGACGAGGATCGAACCCAGGTCAGCAGCGTCGTAATCTAACATGCTAACCACTGGACCACAACAGTTGAACATTGAGACATGACTCATATGACTTATATCATCATTAACCTGCAGGTTGGTTATATATAAAAAGAGCAGAGCTGCGGTAAAATAATTAATAAGAAGACTGCGGTCAAGTAAATAAATAAATTGAAAAAGTGTGGGACACCGGCCCTCGCGGCCAAAAAACGGACCGGCCCACTGGGAATTCTCCTTATCCTCCCGATTAGCCAATCTGGGCCTGATCATCATCATCAAAATAGGCGGTTCATGCAAAGAAAACAATCATTAGTTCCTGGTTCCCTCCTAATCTCCCGTCTGTTCAGCAATGGTTATACTATTTAATAGACATTGTTCGACTAGAACAGTCCACTGCCTTAATAAACAAAGCAAAGATTTCAACAATCCTTCAATGTAACCAAATACATAACAATTTGATCTCCATTATTAAAACTTAAGTGATTTAATTCAACAACATAGAAGAAACTATTAAAATGTCTCGGGATACAGGAGACAACAAACAATCTTTTCTTCTGTTTGATGTTTTACAATAATTTTAGTAGACACTTTATTCATTTATGTACTTCTCTGACATTCTGTATATAGTTTTTTTCTCTTATATTTATTTACAGGTTTCTGTATGATATATGTATATATTCATATATATGTGTGTTTGTTTGTGTAAATATATAATTTGTAATTTTTTATTTTTGTTTCATATTGTTATCAACCATGTTATACGCATTGTACCAAGTGAATGTTGAGAAATTCAGTTTATTACCATTGTTGATAACCAAGTTTATTAAAAACACAATAAAGTTTAAGTAAAAAAAAATTAAAAAATTCATTCTGCTGTGGCGACCCCAGATTAATAAAGGGACTTACCCGACTAAGAAAATGAATGAATGATTAATCAAAACAATGATTTTGACAGTATAGTATTGAAATCTTAAAACATGAATAAAAAAACAGTTTAACTTTTATTTAAAGTTTACAATGCAACCCCAAAATACAGTCAATCAATCATCAGTTGCTTTAGCCTGTGACAGAGTTCACATTGTTCTAAACCTAAAGATCAGCATTTTGGCCAGAATCTCCCTAAAATCCCCCTATATATCTCCTCCAGTGCTGAGGAATGTGTTCATCAGTGTCTGCATGTCAGTGAGTGTTTGACCTGTGCTTAAAGGCCGCGGGCTGGATTCCACAGACTCAGACTTGGAGTGTTTCCAGAAATCCCTCCTGTGAAATCTCTCCAAGCCCCTCGGGTATGACTAACAGAGGAGAGATCACATTTCCAGTCTCTACAGCAGCATAACTCAAACAACACAGTCATGTAGTGTGGTAAACTTTGCTGGGAAATCTGGTGAATTTGTCTGGGTGTAAGAAAGTAATCAGTGCTTGATTCAGGTCCTCTGTCCTCTAAATATTACACAAGTGAAGTGTATTTATGAACTAATTTTCGTTAAAATCACGTGATTATGATTGAACACAGCTGGTTCTGCATTAACTATGTATGATCCACCAATAAAGAGCCAGGGTTTCTCACTACAGTCATCTTCGATTTGAAGAATCCCCCCTTACTCCTCCACCTTTCCCTTTATAGGGTGGCACGGTGGCCCAGTGGTTACAGCAAGAACGTCACTGGTTCTAGTCCTTTAACATGCCAGCTGTCGTTTCTGTGTCGAGTTTGCACGTTCTTCCCATGCTCGCGTGGGTTTTCCCCAGCTTCTCCGGTTTCCTCCCACATTGCAAAAACATGCACAACAAGTGAATTGATCAATCTAAATTTAGCACTACAGTCGATCGCTCATCCAGCAGCACATCTCTTCATAGCAATCTTTTTAGTCATCAGCTCTTATCAAAAAAGGGGGAGTTGTTGAGATCCACCTGAGCTCAAAGCTCCCCTCTCGCCCTGCAAATGGGAGGGAGCCCAGGGCTCAAGGACCTTTTGAGCTCAGGGCTCTTTCCCAGGACAGCATGCCAAACTTGCTTATAATCAATCATCAGCTAAGTGTGAACTCTTGAAATCTCAGTTTTTTTTCTGAAGTAGTCCTAGTAAAAACACATTATAGTGAGCTCTGATTGGTTTCTGCAGCATCATGATAGGAAGCCCAGCTTTCTAAAAAATCTCGCAATGTGTGTGAATTCATTTTTCCCCAAAGAGAGACAGATTTTTAAATATATATTTTATAGACAGCTTGTTAATTAATGGTAAAATGTATTATAAATTTATTAGCCCTATTGTGAATATTTAATATTTTTTTATAATTATTAAAAATGTTGTTTAACAAAAATATAATTTTTAATTGTAATAGTTTCACTAACTAATTTCGAATAACAAATTTATTTTGTATTTGCCAACATGACACTATATAATATTTTGCTAGTTTTTTTGCAAGATACTAGTATTTAGCTTAAAGTGACATTTAAAGGCTTAAGTCATAGAATTCAATTCAATTCAATTCAGCTTTATTTGTATAGCTCTTTTACAATGTAGATTGTGTCAAAGCAGCTTCACATAAATGGTCATAGTAACTGGAACAGTGTAGTTCAGTTTTTAGTGTTTAAGTTCAGTTCAGTTCAGTTTAGCTCAGTTCAGTGTGGTTTAATCATTACTGAGAGTTCAAACACTGAAAAGCAAATCCATCGATGCGTAGCTCTACCAATCCTGAACCATGCGAGCCAGTGGCGACAGCGGAGAGGGGAAAAAAACTTCACCTGATAGGAGTGAAGAAAAAAACCTTGAGGGAACCAGACTTAGTTCGGCACAACCATTTTAATTTCTCCGCTGGCCAAAAGTCTTGTGCAGAGCTTCATTCGCCGTGGTTTAGGCTGGAAGATGGCCTCAGCGAAGACTCGTCTGTCCCTGGAGCGTCGCTGGAATCAGACTCATGTTCTTCACTCCCCACGACCATCAGCGCAGCAGCAGCTCAGGATATGGCCTGGTCCCGGATATGGAATCCTTGGGATCATCACGTCGCTGGTCTTGGATCCAATCAGTGACTCGGACCTCGGGATGAGTATCCCCAGGTGAAAATAGAGAATAAAGAGAATAAAATAGAACAAGAGTGGTTTGTCCTGTAGCCAGTTGAAAATAAATACTTCTTAAAGGAATGTGAAACAATATATTGTATTATAGTTTTAAAAGCAAAAATAAACAATAATAAAAAAACATGAATCACAAAATACAAAACAAAATGCAGATATTTTTCAGAGTGTACATTGGCATAATATGAATTAAAGAGAAAACAATCACTTCATCCAATGTCTAAAGAAGTGGCTCACCCAAAAATGAAAATGTACTCAATATTAACCTGTAACCATTGGCTTCCATAGCAGGAAAAAGAAAAACTATGATTACAGGTTTCCAGCTTTCTTAAAATATCAGCTCTTATATTCAACAGAAGGAAGAACTCAAGTAACAAGTGAAGTGCTAATAAATAATGACAGAATTTCCATTCTTGGGTGAACTATCCCTTCAAATTAATAAACAAATCCTTGACAGCGTCCTTTCAGGAATTCCCCAACTAACTCTGTTCTCATAAAGCAAACAAAAAGCATATTGGCGGGGGAGGATGCTGGAATGTTTCTACAGTACATTTTAAACAATAGTAATCTACAGCCTAGGGTGGCATAAAGTCTAGAAACAGCCCTGCCTACAGTCTATCATCCACTAGAGCTCTATATTTACATTGGCTCAAACTATTAAGAAAGAATAAAGCCGGTGAGGTGTTTTGAAAACGTTCACCAAAACAAAGAGTACTGCAGTTGACACTATCAGGGTCACTTCTGACGAGTTTACACGGGCGATATCTCTCCTCAGATTCTGTTAAACGCGCCAGATGCTCTTGTTTTCATGACACTGGAGTTATCAGAGTGTGAACAGAGTCTTTCCTGTCTGAACGCCAGCGGTTACACACTCCTCATGCTGAATAATGTCTTCATGTTATCTCGTCTTCCAGCATCTCCTGTACACGGCAGAATCTATCCCGGAGAGCGATTCATTTCATCCTCACTCGAACTCCAACTGAACTAATGTTCATTCATTTATCTTAACTTGTAAAGAATGAACTCCATCCTCTTTAGGAAACTGCAGAGAGCCTCTCAAATTTCATACATAATATTATTAGCATTTAAGTGCTCAAAAATATGCATAAAAATGTATCTTTTTTATCAAATAATGTTTTTTTTTTATAAAAGACTCAAAGATGAACCTAGAAGGGATAACGCTGCGGCCGAAAGCTAACAACAATTATTTATAATAATAATTAAATTATACATTCATTTTATTTTATTCATATTTTTATAATCATAATTCATATTTTTAATTCAATTACCCATTCAATTGTATTTATTACAGTTTATCAGTTCAAAATACACTCACCGGCCACTTTATTAGGTACACCTGTTTAACTGCTCGTTAGTGCAAACTTCTAATCCAGAGGTTCTTAAAGTGGGGGTCGGGACCCCCCAAGGGGTCGCGGGACAATGAAGGGGGGTCGCCTGGTGATTTTTAAAAATCAATTCATTTTTATGAAACCTTAAGACTTACTGTATTTTATCAATAACCTACTGAAGAGAAAAAAAATTGTCGTTTATAGTTACTATAGTAGCTTATAGTTACTAGTTCTATTGGATTGCGACTTCTCGGGTAATTACATTATCCTAAAGACACAGCAATACTGTCAGATGCAGCAGATTTTGTAACACCAGGTTAAACTTTCTAGCCCATTTACAACACTGACATACATAAAAAAACAAAAAAAAAAAAACAAAGAATAGACTTTTGTCCATTGGTGTGTTTGTGCGCGTCATTGCATACAAGGTTTCTGTATTTATAACCACCACCTCAGAGAATATTGGGGGTCACGAGTCACTGGCATTGACATTTTGGGGGTCGCGGGCTGAAAAGTTTGGGAACCCCTGTTCTAATCGGCCAATCACATGGCAGCAGCTCTGAGATCTGAGTATTTCAGAAACTGCTGATCTACTGGGATTTTCACGCACAACCTTCTCTAGGGTTTACAGAGAATGGTCCGACAAAGGGAAAATATCCAGTGAGTGGCAGTTTCTTTGGGCACAAATGCCTTGTTGATGCCAGTGGACAGAGGAGAATGGCCAGACTGGTTCCAGCATCATGGATGTACAGCAACTGCGTGATGCGATCATGTCAATATGGAGGAAAATTTCCACTACCTTGTTGAATCTATGCCACAAAAGATTAAGGCAGTTCAAAAATGAGTCCAACCCAGTACTAATAAGGTGTACCTATTAAATTGGCCAGTCAGTGTAGGTAATTTACAATACGATTTCCAAATATTATATTATTTACTATGAACACTAATATTTTTAATGTGGATGTGAACAGCGTATCACACACAAATACAAATACACACACACACACACACACACACACACACACACACACACACACACACACACACACACACACACACTCATCATTACCAGTCTCTGCAGTGATGTTGATCTGACTGTATCCGGGCTGGTATGAGCCGGAGTTGAGCTGCAGGTTGATGGTGAAGGCCTGTCCTCTCCTCACGATGAGCCGGTCTGTGCCGTTCAGCTCCGTGTGGTGGTCCGTGTTATTAAATTTACACGCCAGATCCCATGAGCCGATGTCCAGAGCTGAAGCAACACAACGGAAGAATTTTTACATCTCTGAGTATCACCATGCACATTAGATTAAACATCCACTTAAAAGCACAGTATGTCATTTTCTCCACTAGAGGGCGTGTATTCACAATAAACAAAGGTGTATTTTGATGATAAAATATATATTGCAGTATATTTGGTGCAATAGATCGTACAACAATAAATAGATATTGTGACAGACCTAGCTCACTCAGTGTATTACACTGACAAAGTGTGGACTCTGATCTGTGTGTTTCAGGTGTGTTGAGACTGTGAACTTGAGTGTGTGAGATAGAGATGCAATGCAAAGAATGCAATGCAAATGTAAAGCATGTGGTTTATGTTTAACAGATGCATCTTCACGGGCACACATATGTCACTGATTGACTTCTGACACACGACTCAATGCATAGAGTTGTCTTGTTTGATCATTACCTTGTGCCTTTTTAATGTAGCTATTAACTTTCCTTTTTTAAATATAAGGCACAGTAACACAAAAAAGGCACAAGTGTGTTTCTTTACATGTGTTGGTCAAAGACAAGATGTCCTCATCAAATGCATGTGTTCCCCGTGTTGTCCTGGGTTTCCTCCGGGTGCTAAACACATGGTGAATTGGATGAGGTAAATTGGCTGTAGTGTATGAGTGTGAATGAAAGAGTGTATGGACGTTTCCCAGTGATGGGTTGCAGCTGGAAGGGCATCCACTACGTAAAACATATGGTGGAATAGATCATTCCAGGCGATTCATTCCGCTGTGGCGACCCCTGATAATTAAGGGGCTAAGCTGAAGGAAAATGAATAGATGAATGGTTATACTTTCTTTTAAGGTGACAGTAATGTTAATGAATTCTGTGTATTTACTATGCAGTTCGGTTTAGAATGTGGGTTAGGATTTGGGTTATTAGCATGTAATCACACATAGTTACCTGTAATTATTCAACCCAAGCTCATTCTGGAAACGTAGCCCCGCGGATGTTTTTGGAGACCACGATTTACGTGGCTGGAGGTACGTATAGCCGTATTTCGTTTTTTCAAGCGAACGCTTGGTGTGACACCGCTCCTCTTTGCGCTTGCTGGCTAGGCTGACGGCTCGCCTCCTTCGTGTGGAGAGCTTTCCTGCCACAACCAGTTTGTCCGGTTAGCTCGTCGTGTTACATCGGCGAAGCGGAGGAAGAGCCGGGCGCATTCGAGACCGGGTTCGAGTCCGGGGAAGAGAGGTTCCAGAAATCAGGTAAGACAAAAAACAGATTTAAAAAAAATAAAGTGAACGAGTTTGTAACGGAGCGAGAATGCGGTGAAAGCCGAAAACACGAGGGCTTTTCTTTTTCTGCACGGCTTTCGTAAATAGTCGCTTGGGTTTAGGGAAGAAGGAGGAGGAGGAGGGCGGCCGGGTCGGCCAATTGGCCGTCCGCCCAGTCAATCGTTCAGTCATTCAGCCAATCGGTCAGCGGACAGAGACAGTTGCTCGACAGTGGCCTCCGGCAGCTTTTTACGCGAGAAAAGCGTGCTCGGGAAAGGCATTTGAGACACGAAAAAGCACACACAGCAGCCTCTCACAAATTCGCAAAAACAAAAACTGCACAAATACGTACCTCCCGGGACGTATTTCGCGGTCTCCAGAAACGTCCACGGGGCAACGTTTCCAGAATGAGCCTGGGTTGTAATTATTACAGTAAATATATGTTTAACAAGGACACTGTAAAAGTAAAGTGTTACCCATTATACTTATTCTAATATTTATTTATTAAAACATGTAAAAGTGTAAGAGATCATGCTCAATTTTAATATGCACTTCATTTTTTAAAGGATTTTATATTTAATATACTGTGAGTGTTACCCAATATACTTATTCTAATATTTAATGATTAAAACATATAACAGAGTAAGAGATCATGCGCAATTATAATATGCATTTAATGTTTTTTAAAGATTTTGTACATAATATACTGTAAGATATTTGACTTTTGGTTTATTAAAACAAATAATAATATTAGGTCTGAAATATGTGCTAAAATACTTCCCAAAGAAGTCCAAAATACTGCACTTAGATTGACTTAAAACATGCAACTTGTTTTTATTATTTATTACTTTTTTTTTTTTTTTACTTTAAAAGCACAACAACTTACAACTTTGGTCCCACAAACATTCACACCAAAATTGACAATAAAGCATGCAATATACAAACAATCCATACATAAGTATAGTAATAACAGATTAATAGAATTAAACAAAAAAAATACTATTACTATTGCAAAAAGGAAACAAGTAATAAAATAAATACACTAATAAAAAAATTCTAATAAAATAATAATCTTCTGTTTTAACTTAAATTGGTCTAATCCTCTTCAATTGAACTATTTCTTGCAGAATTTATGTCTTTAAAGTAAGCCATGAAAGGTTGCCAGACTTTATAGAATTTGTCTTCTTTCTTTTTTAGTGAGAATCTGATTTTCTCCAGTTCCAATTGTTTTATTACATCCCGCATCAGATGTGTGTATATATATATATATATATATATATATAAATATATATATAGGAGCAGCTTTCTGTTTGCAGTTTAATAATATTAACCTTGGTGCTAGTAGACAGACAAATGGAACTATATTTTTGTTCAGTACTGTTTTTAGCTATCTGGAAATCAGTAATGCCTAGAACTGCTATACGGGGATCTGGATCTATCGACCTATTGTTAGAAATATATTTTCCCAGTATGATGATAATTTTGGGCAGCTCCAAATCATACGAGCCAGTGATGCCGGTTCTAGCCCACACTGATTACATGCAGGGTCCACTTCTGGAAATATCTTATTAAGTTTTTGTTTGGAGCAATATAAACAATGTATTATATTAAACTGTATGAGGCCATGCCTTGTGCATACTGATGATCTGTGGAAAACAACTTTCAGCATTAAATTCTTTAGATGAAATATCTTGGAAAAATGTCTGCAATGATGTTATAATAATATCTCAAATCTCAAAGTGATGTGCCATTAATGGAGACTGTGCAATAAGGTGATGCTGATGAATTTTCAGATGTTCATCTACAAACTGAGACTCATGAGAAAGCAGATGGACTTTCTCCTCTCAGTATGCTGTAAACCAACCATCCTGCGGTGAAGAAATTAGTCTCAGACCTGCCAGAAAGAGTGTGTGTTTAATGGGGAATGTGCGCAGTGGGGTTCCTCTGTTTCCTATCAGTAAAGTCGATGTTGTAATCTTTACCAAAGCTTTGATCCTGGTCTGAAGAGATGCCGCTGCCTCCAAAAACACTGTGTGTGAGTGTGTGTGTTAGGGCTGCATGTTACTTGGAAAATATGTGACATGCATGCGATATTGATACTTCTTACGATATAACATCTCACTAGAAAAATGCTATTTTAATATTTTATGCTGTTTTAAAATCATTTATTTATGTAATGATATTAAAATAAACAGGTAACATATATTTTCAGATCTAATTAAATCTAATTCAGACTAAAAATCTGCATTAAGGTGCAAACATTTCATCTTTACAACACTATGAATGAGCGAAAAACTTCAGAAGATATTCTAACTCTGATTGGCTGATCTAGACTCCACCCATTAGTGTTTATTTTCAGCTCTGGGTTCACCTTTGGGCCGCTCCAGCCAATAGCAGAGCAGCAGCTACTGAGGAGGAAGGTCTAAAGATAGTAAGGTCCCATCTGATTGGTCAAATTTAGATAAACATCCAATGCATACAATAAATGCAATCTATTGCTCATGTCTGCGAGATGTAAATTATTATCACAAAAACATTAATTTTGTGATACCTTGTGCAGTTCTAGTGTGTGTGTGACACTTCTGTTTAGCTTTTAGACTGAAGTTGTTATTATTCTGACTAAATGAAGACCTGCACTGTTATTCTGGAGCCGTTCAGTGTCTCAAACAGCACATTTAAAAGACCAAACCACTGAATGAATGGAACTGAACAGCACAAAAGTGAAAGATATTGGCTGTTTCTCAATATGCGTTCTCGTCTGTACTTGCGTTCTTGTGTCCTCGTGAAACGTCATCAACCGTCGCCAAAGTACTGTTCCAATTCAAAGTTCACATCTTTCCAAGTACACATGAAATTCCCGGATGTGTACTTCCTCTGGCCTTTTACCAAGGTTGCATCGAGAAGTGACTTGTGCGAACTTGCGAAGCTCAGGTATCCCAGATACTCTAAAAATACTCCTTTACTGTGTCACAAAATAAAGTTTTAAGAGTTTTTCAGGCGAGAATGTCATTGTTTTAAACTCGAATCGGCAGTTTATTCACAAAGATAGCGCTTCTTTAACGATGTGGCTCAGCTTATGCGGACTCCAACTCCCAGCCTGCCAGCGGGAGCTCCGTCATCAGCTCCCCTGCAAGAGTAACTTTACTTCGGCCAGGCCATCTCGGACGTACTGCTGGATCTCATCTCTCCATTGTAGTTAAAACATGATATTTAATACATCTTGGGAATATCTAATGGACAGTTTTTGGTCTTATAAATCTATTATTTATTCTCAGCTGTATTATATTAGCAGTGTATTTTGTTACCTTTTATAATTGTCTTTAATTATGTTACCGTGTTGTACGCTGTTTGTCTTTGTTTACCAAATTGTTTGACGTAATCTTTATTTCTTATTATGAATGTCTTTATTTCTTATCGTGTGTATAATTACCATTGTAGTTTATTAAATCTGATAATCAAAGACACGGGTCTGTGTATAATAACTCATTTTAATTCACATTTATATGAATATATGTGTACATTTTCTTAAATCAAAAATGTAGATTTATAATATTAATATAATATTAATTAAATCATTTTATTGGTAATGTACAGTGAAACTGATGAATCCATGGTGAGGTAAGTGACGTTATGAAGTACACTGCTGTTCCATTTGTAGGAGCACCCGACTTGTGTCCTCGCGTCCTCGGGAGTTTGTTCTTCCAAGTCTGAACTTGGCAAGTCTGAACTTCCAAGGACGCAAGTCCGAACTTTGCGTACTTGGTATTGAAAAACAGCCCCTGTTCTATTATAAGTAGATGAGAGAAATTAAAAGTCTTACACTATGGATCACCAAACTTGTTCCTGGAGGGCCGGTGTCCTGCAGATTTTAGCTCCAACCCTAATCAAACACACCTAAACTAGCTAATTAAGGTGTTACTATGTATACTTGAAACACCCAGGCAGGTGTGCTGAGGCAAGTTGGAGCTAAACCCTGCAGGGACACCGGCCCTCCGGGGCCGAGATTGGTGACCCCTGTCTTAGTCTCTCCTACCTCATTAAATCCTTTGCTGTAATTTTCCATCTATGGTTCGGTCACCGGCTGCCTATTCTGACTAAATATAGTAAATATTTTTAGTGGAGCACATGGTAAACAGCTGTCAAGACTTAATGTTTACACGCCGTACAGAAGCTCATTCACGGAGACGCTTCAAAGCATCAGTGGCGTTTACATGCGGGAGTGGAAAACTACAAGAAAACACTACATAAACCAAGACATTTAATGACGACAAGCGGTTTAACAAACCACAGTTAACCATTCACACAGAACAGAGATGCTTAAAGGGATAGCTCACCCAAAAATGATGATTTCCTGTTGATTCGTTCACCCACAGCTTATACAAGATGACTTTGACTCTTCAGTAGGTCATTAAAGAAGATTTTGAGCTGAATGCATGGTCGTCAGATTCATATAATGGCAGTAAATGGTTACAGGTTTTTTTTAGATATAACATAAACACGAGTGCAGATCAATAGTCATGTAGTTTAATAGACAATAATTTAATCCACAGCCTGGTCAAACAGTTTTCGGCGCATGTGCAATTGTAATCAATTACAAATGGACTACAATCAGACTACAGTCGCACATGCGCAGAAAACTGTTTGAGCTGGTTGTGGATTAACCAATCGGCAACCTCCCGCTCTCCCTCAGGAAGCCAATACGGAAGTAACTAAAACTGCAATTCATCCGAAATCCCGCTAGTCCTGGCCGCTCCTGGCTCCAAAACAGAGCAAATTTCAATTGAGCCCACTGTTAGAATGGCCAACTTTACAGCAGAAATAAAGGTGTTTACAGCCTGGTACAAAAAAAGATTTTGGTTAATACAGCTAATATTACCCTTCATGAGAACTGTGAGGGGGGCGAATTTTTTTTATAACTCATCCGTTTCCTTTATATTAAGTTATATTAAGTTTGCATAATTAAGGGCGTGGCCACTTGAGTGACAGCTAGGTCTCGTTGGTCGCCGTCACGTCACCTCAGCTGAATCCTGCAGATTAGCCACTGAACTCGGCATATTTATCGTATTTCTGTGTTGTTTTATGTGGCTTTATGTGGCGTTTTGGACTTGTTTCCTACAATTATTAGATGGCATGGCATGCTGAGTGCACTTAATTGTGCTCACAAACCATTCACGTGGCCTCCGTTTCCCATGTGAGTAAAGTTATATACTTATATATCTCTATACATGTATTTGATTTATTTAAGATCATTTATCGTTTATATTTATATTCAGAGCTGTAATGCACTCCAGAATCTGACGAATTGATTAGCTGTAGGCTCTAGATCAGTCATCTGAAGCGTTGTCATACAGTGTTATGCTGGATTTCATCAATAGTCTTACATTAACTAACACAGACTGTATCTGAAGGGTTTAGAAGTAATTTGCGTTTTCCTCCTGTTGAAAAACGTCATAAGAACAATGTTTAGTGGCTCAATGTGTTACAGCTAGGGATGGGAAGATAAACCGATATGTATCGATACGCGGTCATGCGCGTGCACGATGCGAGTGCATCGGTAGAGCAGCAGAGGATGAATGAAATATTAAAAGCAAATCGAGATGCATCGGTTTTTGCGAGATGCATCGATTTTTCCAAGATACAACTTATCTTTTTAATATAGAATGTATTTTTTTATTTATTAACAAGTGTTGTCAAACTGTTTTTAGCGCATAATTTAATCGACCTACATAAAGTAAGCCTTAGCAACGGATTTGCGGATGTGCACACTTACAGCAGTTTTTTTAAAAGTCTAAACACTTTATTGATATAGTGTACAACCAAGCACAAGTGGTCAGAATACAAACGAGTCGCAGGTGATAAAGTATTAAGCGTTTCTCCCAAAGTAAAGTGTGTCTGAACCAGGTCCAAGCTAAATGCCAGCAGGTGTCTGTAGCTCCGCTCACTCTCCGCCTCTTTGCCCTTGTTTGGTATCCCGCCGTGGGTGTGATGACGCGCGAACAAAATGGCGACGGTTGGCCGTGCCTACTTGTGGCTTTTTTAGAAACCTATGGGTGACGTCACGGACACTACGTCCATATATTTTACAGTCTATGGGATTAACAAACCCAGGCTCATTCTGAAAACGTACCCCTATATACATTTTTGGTGAGCGCCAAATACGTCCCAGGAGGTATGTTTTTTGCAGTTTTTGTTTTGCGAATACACTAGAGGCCACTGTGTATGATTTGTGAGTTCTCAAATTTCTCTTGCGAGTGCCATTTGCGCCAGCTCTTCTTGCGTAAATCCACCGGAGGCCGCTGTGAACTGACTGATTGACCAATAGTCTGACCCACCCTCCTCCTTCCCTAAACTCAGTGCTTTCAAATCAATCCAGAAAAAGAAAAGCCCTCACAGCTTGATTTTTACCACGTTTTCAGATCTTACCACATACTCACCCTGTTATTTACTGGTTTATTTTCTTATTTGGCTTTTGTTTTTGTCTTACCTGCTTTCTGAGACTGTTTTTCGCCAAACTCGAACCCCGTTTTCGTGGTCAACGCTGCTCAAAATTAGGGTTGGGTCGATAGACGATGCCATCATCCATCGCAATTCACCCCCATCGCAAACCCGCTCGCGAAAAATACACACTTAGACCCAGTTTACACTAATACGTCTCAGTTTTAAAATGGCATTTTAAAACGAAAACAATCCACATCCACACTGTCGTTTCATCTAGCATTTCTGAACAGCCCTCAGTCCATACTATACTGCTGAAAACGCACATCACGTGACCACACACACACACACACACACACACTGTTATGTGCTCGTCTGAGCTCCAGGCAGTCAGCAGGTGCTTTGAGCACAAACCCCAGAGAGCAGTGCACGTCGGACAGTTTTTCAAGGATGTACCACTGCATCGCGTCTCACTATAGTTGTTAAACATGATATTAAATTAATCTCATCTCTATCTAACAACCATTTAGTCTTTTCAATCTATCACGGTGTCATACCAGCGCGTAGCGTTGGTTTTAAAGATGAAATGCAGACATATGTATCTCTGGCTACATAATTTGCAATCTCCAGGAATGTATATAGGCAGGGCTGGAGCAAGCTGAACTGCCGCTCTAGGCAAAGGATGATCACGTCGACCTCAACCCGAAAGTTGAGTTGGCCCTGTATATAGGGATAAGTCTTCAGAATGAGCCTGGGTTGTGGATTAAAGCTAATAATATTGTAAATAATGTTCAATTTCTTACACAGACCAATCGTTTGGCTTCACAAGACCTCAATGTGTCTTCAGGAGCCATGTCTATGATTTGGACTCATTTGTATGAGTTTATTTTAAAAATAAAAACATGTCCCTATTCACTGCCATGATATGAATCACCAAGAACCACAGATTCAGCTCAAAATCTTCATTAATATTCTACTGAGGAAACAAAGTTACCAACATCTTCAACCTGTGGGTGAGTAAATTAACAGCAAATGCTCATTTTTAAGTGAACTATGCCTTTTATGAATGTCGCCTACACTGTCTACCTCATCATGGGTGAAGATCTTAAAATGTAGGCAGAAAGACAAATGAAAGATGCATTATCTGCAAGCATTCGACATGTGCATCTAATCACACACAACACACACACAATATATAAAAGAATACATGAATTATTCAAAAATAATATGCATTGAAATCTATACTAGTAAAGGCAACATTCTCAGTCCATTCATGCAACTTATTGATTTCCGAAATATTTTATTAGATGTCAATCAAATGCTCTTAAGAATGTTACTACCTGTATCAGAATATTCTTAGAATGTATACAAGTGTAAAATAAACATGCAATCATATATACTGCATGCATAATAATGTTGTGCTGTTGTCTGAACATTCAAAATGTTTAGTTTATACATACATACATACACACACACACACACACACACACACACACATATATATATATATATATATATATATATATATATATATATATATATATATATATATATATATATACAGTTTGTTTATCCATTATTTTTAGACATCAAGTAAATATATACAGTTTAGCAGTATATATATACTGTATAAATAAACTGGATAGGCCTATATATATAAACTGAACATTCAACAGTCAGAAATAACGTCATTAAAATATTTTACACAGCTAGGAAACGTTAAACTATAACAAGCTTCGTGTGGTAACATCAACCTGATTAATATTTAGTTATATCATTCCATATGACAGAATTAATTCGCATTAAGTAAGGGTACACATTAAAAAACACTTATAAATGTCAGGTATAAGTTGATCCTCATGGCAGCTACTGCACTTAAACACAAAAATTTACTTTTTATAACGTGATACAAAACTTGGAATGTAATACATGCATGTATAACAGTCTTTAACATCCTAATAAAGGTTTGAAACACTGATAGATGCAGAGTAAAACGCACTTACCCATGTTTATAAAGTAATGCTGCGGCGGTCCAGCGGTGAGTTCCGTTCAGTCAGTGACAGTCAGTGTGCGCGCGCTCTCACACGCACGCGCGTCTTTATTGTGCAGAGCGACACGCCCACATGCGCATTCACAGCTGACAGACCGACGATCACATACGTGCAGATCACTCTTTATTATATATGACATTTAATAATTATGCAAACATTTTTCCCAAAGCGACCTACAGATGAGAACAATATAAGTAATCAAAGCAACAAATACTATCTATGCAAATAATATGCAAATCTCTTGTTAGTCTAATGACGTATATTTATATGATCTTTTTTGAGAGATAATAAAATAGAAAGTAATTTTATATTAATATTTTTTCACAAATAAAAGCACACATTTGTAGTACAAAAGAAAGATTATGCAATATGAATAATGAATAGCTATATTATTTCTGCACAAAGTCTACCAAGACACACTGTCTTCAATTTTCCCCCTGTGCAATTGAAAGCATCCTGCTTGTTAATTTAGCAGTTAATTTATTTTAATTCATTTGTTAATAACTTTAAACTTACAAAAGCCTGACATCATCGGCCAGACCAGGAATTTACATTATTGTGGTAATCAAACAGCAACGCAAACCATCCACATCTGGGATTATAGTGTACAGTGTATATATATATATATACATATATATATATATATATATATATATATATATATATATATATATATATATATATATATATATATATATATATATATATATATATACAGTACACATATGATCATGCATCTGCACTTTTTCACTGACTTATAAAACATTCTTAGATTCCCAGACCAGCCATTTAATTTACCCAAACATGTTTTCTTAAAAGATTACACATCTGTTTGTGTTTTACAACCTGTACAAAAAAGGTAATTAGAAACAGACAGAGCAAATCAAAAAGACTTTTATTATATACAGATTACAGATGTCGGTTTTACAACAAATCTGTACAACAAACCTAATCAAAAACAGTCTAAAACAATGATTCAATGGATTGTGTAGGTTTTTAAAATGAAAAGTTAGTGCTGTAAAACAATGTTACACAGTCAGACAGAGAATAAATAAATACCTTTTATTTTAGAGTGTTACATGATTGATAGTGATTATATGAAAACATAAAACACATGATGCTATTATTACAGTACAGACAAACATGATGGGTTACACTTCAGTTGACTTTCCGATTGACGATTGTACCTGTAAAGAACAACGAAAGAATGTAAATATTAATAACCAGAATATGATGCACAATGAAAATATTAATAGTGTTTTAGTGTAATTAATAATAGATGATATTAATAAGTATTGGGGGTAACGCATTACAAGTAACACGAGTTATATAATAATATTCATTCATTTATTTTCCTTCGGCTTAGTCTCTATTTCAAAGGTAACCACAGCGGAATGTACCATCAATTACTTCAGTGTATGTTTTACACAGCGGATGCCCTTCCAGCCGCAACCCAGTATTGGGAAACAACTATACACACTCATTCACACACACTCATACACTACAGCCAATTTAGTTTATTCAATTCCCCTATACCACATGTGTTTGGACTGTGGGGGAAACCGGAGAACCCGGAGGAAACCCACACCAACACGGGGAGAACATGCAAACTCCACACAGAAATGCCAGCCCAGCCGGGACTCGAACCAGTGATCTTCTTGTTGCAAGGTGACTGTGCTAACCACTGAGCCTCCATGCTGCAAATATATATTATCCTAAATTATTTTATTTTGACGTGTTTTTTTTTAAAGGTAAATGAAGGTGTAGGTTATTTAAAACCTGTGTGCTCTGAAAAAGATCAAGCCTCATCCAGGTAAGAAAAAGTAGTGCAAAAGTAACTTAAAAAGTAATGTAATTACTTACCATAAAAAGTAACTAAGTAACCCAACTAGTTACTTTTTTGAGGAGCAACTTAATATTGTAATTCATTATTTTCAAAAGTAACTCCCTCTAACACTGTTCATAACCGATGCATCGCAGCACAACTGAGACTAAATTATAATTGCTTGAAAATTAAACTGCAATATTTGCCATAATGCACCTTGCTAGAAATTTCTGAAAAAATAAATAAATTGTAATCGTACTTTAGAGCCGCTCTGGTCTCTGGTTTGATTAGTGGTTTTAAGGTGGTCTTGTTTGTGTTGCTTTCCCAGCTCAGACGGAGTGTGTTCACAGTCTCCACCAATGACAGACGAGCAGCTGTGAGCTGAAGTGCTGAAACAGCTGACGCTTTCACCAGACGACTCTGAACTCGCCACTGAAACAACAACAATACAACACAATATCAACCATAATATGCCATTCATTCATTTATTCATTCATTAATTTTCTTTGAGATTTGTCCCTTATTTATCAGGGGTTGCCACAGCGGAATGAACCGCCAACTATTCTGGCATATGTTTTACGCAGCGGATGTTCTTCCAGCAACAACCCAGTACTGGGAAACCATGATATACTGTAATAACTATAATAATTAGAATTGTTTATTATCTGTAAAGACAATTCTGTCAAATACTGGGTTCCACACAATCCCTTCATGCTTTCCCAACTTAAGTGTTTTTTTAATCACTTAAGTTTTTTAATTTTTAGTTGATTGAACATAAAACAATTAAGCTGCCCCCCTCTCCAAGAAGTGTGTTGTTTCAGCTCATTTTAAATAAGTAGTTAGAACAAGCACCAAAACAGAACAAAAACATTTACGTGAATTCTGAATTTGTTTGACACAAAATTATGAAATATTATCAGATATTCAGGAAATCAAGCAAATATTACCATTTTACTAAAACACTAAAACAAACACAAAAGTTATTATTTTATTTTATTAAAAAAGACCTTTAACTGCCTTAAAAGTGACAAGTTGACTTTACCTAAAAATGTAATGTAATGTGTATTTATATAGTGCATTTATTGTGTATGGCCATACACCCAAAGCGCTTCACAATCATGAGGGGGGGTCTCTCCACACCACCACTGGTGTGCAGCATCCACTTCATGATGCGACAGCAGCCAGTGCGCTCACCACACACCAGCTGTTGGTGGAGTGGAGAGACAGTGATAGAGCCAATTCAGTGGAAGGGGATGATTGGGAGGCCATGATCGTATGGGCCGATAGAGGGACTTTTGCCAGGACACCAGGGTTACACCCCTGCTCTTTCACGAGAAGTGCCATGGGATTTTTAATGACCACAGAGAGTCAGGACCTCGGTTTAACGTCTCATCCGAAAGACGGCGCCCACTGACAGTCTAGTGTCCCCTTCACCTTTACTGGGGCATTAGGACTCACATAGACCACAGGTTGAGCGCCCCCTGCTGGCCTCACTAACACCACTTCCAACAGCAACCTAGTGTTCCCTAGTGGTCTCCCATCCAGCTACTGACCAGGCTCAGCCCTGCTTAGCTTCAGTGAGTAAGCGGTCTTGGGCTGCAGGGTGACATTGCTGTGGCAAAAGCAAGCGAACCCCTTTTAACCTCAAACCGTTAAGTTGTTTTAACCTAATTTTTCAAGTTATGCACATAGTTCATTTCCTTAAAAACATTCTCACTTCTTAAAGTAAAGTCAATTCATCATTTTTAAAAGCAACAGGTTTACACACTTTTTTTCTACATTGAACCTAGCAAAAAAAATATATATATATATATATATATTTAAAAAAAAAAAAAAAAAAAAAATATATATATATATATATATATATATATATATATATACTTAAAAAAAAAAAATATATATATATATATATATATATATATATATATATATATATATATATATTCTTTCTTTTTATTTTTGAAATAACATCAAGATGACTATTCAATCATAAAACATGTATTAATAAGCAAGGTACATTTTTAAATTGTTCTTGTACACATGTCCCAACACAAATCAAGTTAACTTCATAATTTTTTACAAATTTAAGTGGATTCAGCATAAAAAAATTGGGTTGTCCCTCAAATAACTTTACAATTGTGTTTGAAATAAGTTATTTGAACAAGCAGCAAACTATTTTTTGAGTGTATCAATCAAAACATTTCAGCTCATTTCAGATGAACTTTTGTGTACCCGAAAATGCGTACCGAGTGTGCTGTGGTTTCCACTCTCCTGGTCTAAATCATCTTCCTCCAGGATCCCCGACGTCTCTTGAATGTACCGAACATCATCTCCTCCCACCGGACACACAGCAGACGTAGATGGAGACCCCCATCCAGAAGAGCAGGACGACTGACTTCCAGAGGACGAGGTGCCGCTGGCCGAGCCGATGGAGTTCAGGCGGAGGACAGAAACACCACCTAAAAACATCACACACAGTAAGAGGAGATCCACTGCTCACTTATTATTTAACAAGTTTAAAGTCTGCATGAACCAGAAGTTGCACAAATAATGTTTTAAAACTCTTTGAAACATCGGCGAAGCAGTGGCGCAGTAGGTAGTACGTCTTACAGCAAGAAGGTCGCTGGTTCGAACCTCGGCTCAGTTGACGTTTCTGTGTGGAGTTTGCATATTCTCCCTGCCTTCACGTGGGTTTCCTCCGGGTGCTCCGGTTTCCCCCACAGTCCAAAGACATGCGGTACAGGTGAATTGGGTAGGCTAAATCGTCCGTAGTGTATGAGTGTGTGTGTGGATGTTTCCCGGAGATGGGTTGCGGCTGGAAGGGCATCAGCTGCTTAAAAACTTGCTGGATAAGTTGGCGGTTTATTCCGCTGTGGCGACCCTGGATGAATAAAGGGACTAAGCCGACAAGAAAATGAAGGAACTCTTTGAAACTGCCTGGCTTTGATCCTAATTGTGGCGTTTTGGGGACTGTCACTTTAATTCAAATGAGGAGCTACAAATGCCTGTGTGTCAGTGTAGCGGCAGATTCAAAACCAAAGCTGCGTCCCAAATGGCACACTATACACTATCAGTGGCGCAAAAAGGGGGTATGCAGTATATGCGGCGCATAGGGGCGCCACACATGGGGGGCGCCATTGTGCCAAAACTATTTTTGAAATTATCCATATTAAAAGTTTCAAATAATATATATATTTTTTGTAAAAAAATTTTATTTAGCATTTTCTACGCGTATAATATTGTATTTTATTAGATTAAAAAATCATTCCACCCCTCCCCCCCATTTTTCATACCATATACATGTTTTTATGAATTTATTATGTATCATATTGATTCATCAGGCCTTTTGGTAACTTCTTAGCTCAAAACTATTTTAATTTTAGCTACAAACAAAGTTATAACATTTCAATTAAATAGAACATTTCACACAGTTTGTTTCTGTTTTTATTACACTAAACATTTGACAGTCTTTTTATTTCACTTTCAATTGTTCTTGCAGAGACAGACCTTACACTTCTCACAGTATGCATGTATGAGAAGTAATCACAATGTTCTTTTGCCCTTTAGGACTCCCATGTCTATCATTTTGTTTTGACAAATGTAGTACAAAAAGTCCAAAAGCAAGGTTAGTCAAGGTGCTATAATCATTTAGTGAGGGAAAATTAAACTGAGAAGAAATTTGGGCTGGTATGAGATGCATTTCTTTGCGACTTAACATGCTTAACGTAATTATACCTTTTACTACTTCATACTATTTCAGTTGTGTTCAGAACTGCGAAACTGTATTTTTTGAAGCATATTAACATCTTTATGAAAAAATATCTTTAATTTATTGATGGAAATATTTGCAACATTTTATCACTTGCCTGTTTTAAAATATAGTTGGATTGAAGGGGGGCGCGGAAAAGTTGAAGCCGCATACCCATCAGTAAATGTGCAGTTGCGCCCCTGTACACTATGCACTATGTACTTATGCACTTACACACTCAACAGGATAGTATATGTATGTAGTGTCGTCCCAAATGGCACACTAATGTTTTTTTTACTAAGCCGAAATTCAAACTGTTTCCCTGATGACGTTTGACGGTTGCCAAATCAGTGAAATATACGACCGAATTATCAAATAATACCTGCCGTGAGTATAACCGCATTCACCATCAGGAGGCGCTATAATAACTCTCGTAGGAGAATTTTGCTTTCACCATCCAAAATAAATAAAGTTATTCAACATGTGCGTTCGATAGCTCCGCCCCTTCCGCTACGTAAGCAAACCTGCAGTCGTTGAGTGCGTGAAGTGTCCATCATTAAACACTTCATTTTAGCGGCTGAATGAGTGCATCATCCGGGTAATTAAAGTGCACTCATTATTTTTAGAGTTTTCAGTGTGAACGCACTACTTACACCTGCGATTTGCGATTTGGGACGCAGCTCAAGACTAACGTCCTATGCTAATGGGCGGGGCTTTCCCCCTCTGAAGACACGTACAAAGTGATAATGTCAATCAAAGTGTTTCTGCAGACTGTTTTTATAAACTCTGAATGTAAATAATAAAATTAATAAATTTTTTCCCATTAGAAGCTGCTTATATTCACACACTATTGCCACACAACTATGTTTAAACCCCCTATAAAAGTGTATTTTAATAAATAAAATACACTTTTGAAATAGCCTTGCTGACCCAGGTGATTTACCTCGTCCTGTGAGCACACAGTTGATGGCTCGGTCACTGATGGCCATCTCACTGGGCTTGATGTCCATGAAGGGTTTATGTCCGATTCCCATGAACACTCGCTCCTGCATCCGGATCTCTGAGAAAACATCAGCAACAGCTTCAGCTATCATTAAATAATTAAGCCTAAAGCTCTTTGCACACTGAAGCTTAGAATGTTTGTATGCATTTTTTAGGAAAAATTCGTCACATGAACAAACCTTGCACACTGACTAATCCAGTATGTGAAAACATTTCTGAGTCAGTTTAAGCAGTTCTTCTCTCTTTTCCAAAGAATAAACGGAGAGAGGAATAGGCTGAGTATGGAGAGTTCAGCTCATTGTCAAAGAGCTGAGCTGGATTATTCATTCATTCATTTTCTTGTCGGCTTAGTCCCTTTATTAATCCAGGGTCGCCACAGCGGAATGAACCGCCAACTTTTTCCAGCAAGTTTTTGTGCAGCAGATGCCTTTCCAGCCGCAACCCATCTCTGGGAAACATCCAAACACATATTCACACGCACTCACTCATACACTACGGACAATTTAGCCTATCCAATTCACCTGTATCACATGTCTTTGGACTAAGGAGGAAACCGGAGCACCCGGAGGAAACCCACGCGAAGGCAGGGAGAACATGCAAACTCCACACAGAAACACCAACTGAGCCAAGGATCGAACCAGCGACCTAGCGACCTTCTTGCTGCGAGGCGAACGTGCTACCCACTGCGCCACTGCCTCGTTATCCCTAAGTTAATTTCAGGAAATCAGTGGAGTTTTAATACATTGCTTGTGATACTTCTCACATTCACGTATTTACATATAACGTACCATTTATCTTGCTGTAGGTGTATTTACAGCATTGCATATATTTACTATAAAATATACAGCAGCTTTCACAATGCAACTTTAAAATACAGTAACATACTGTATAACTGTCCTACAGTAAAATTCAGTTCATATTACAGTTCAGTTCACAAGTAACTTACTGTAGTTACAGCAAAAATACCATTGTTTATATTTATTATAAAATATACAGTAGCTTTTACTATGCAACTATAAATTACGGTAACATACTGTATAACTGTCCTACAGTAATATACAGTTCATATTAGAGTTCATTTCACAAGTAACTTACTGTAAATTAGTTATAGTAAAAATACCATTGTTTATATTTACTATAAAATATACAGCAGCTTTCACAATGCAACATTAAAATACAGTAACATACTGTATAACTGTCCTATAGTAAAATTCAGTTTATATTACAGTTCAGTTCACAAGTAAATTACTGTAGTTACAGCAAAAATACCATTGTTTATATTTATTATAAAATATACAGTAGCTTTTACTATGCAACTATAAATTACGGTAACATACTGTACAACTGTCCTACAGTAAAATACAGTTCATATTAGAGTTCAGTTCACAAGTAACTTACTGTAAATCAGCAATAGCAAGAATACTGTATTTGCATTTACAGCACCATTTACCTTGTTGCACATGTATTTACACTATTGTATATCTTTACTGTAAAATATACAGTGCTTTACACAATGCAAACTTTAAAATAACATTAACATACTGTATAACTTTCCTACAGTAAAATACAGTTCATATCACAGTTATGTTGTATTACTTGCATATTTTGGTATTTCTTTGGAATATATTTCTCAAACAACGATGAGGGTTTGATTGCAGCATAGCTTAATTGTTTTTGTCATCTTTTTAAACTAACTGAAGGTGTTTAGTGAGTAAAATGCGGAGAAAGTTCTGTGGAACTGTGTATTTTGTAATAGTGATGCCCCATAGGATATTCCCGTAGATCTGCACACATCTATATATATTTTTTAAAAGAAGATCAGTTGAGTAATATCTGCTGGGCACATGAGATGTGTGATGGTGAAATGTGTGTGCGAACAGTGAGAGTCATCTGTAAATGCATGCAGCCCATTGTTTTTTCTTCAAATGATTGAATGTATTTGATTGAATTGTGAATGAAATGTTCTGTGGAACTGTTTATAGTGATCCCTCAATGGGTGTTTCTGTAAATCTGCACACGTCTACATCTCAGGATCAGATGAATAATGTCTGCAGGGCATATGAGATGAGTGTAGCGTGATGGCGAAATGATTGCGCAGACAGTGCGAGTCCTCATTGAATGCATGCAGCTGCAGACGGGAGTTTAGCTTCTGTCATTCATCTTTCCTCATCCCTCCTTTTCACATTCCTCAATATACAACATCACCTTTCAGCACTTCATTTGGCTTCATCAACCCAGAAACATTCACTTTTCTTAAGGTTTAAGGTTTCAGTGTCATAATCGTAAAAATGAAGTAAAACAACTGACGGTAAGATTAGGTGTGGACTGCACCAGAACAAATTAATCTTACACACCTTAAATCAAGGTTTTACAGAGAAACTTGACTGACTTCAGCGCTTTTGAAGATTTAAAACACACTTGGAGATAAACTTTTAGCTTGCAGATGAAGAAGTGTGGATTTCCAATTAATTAAATTAAAGCATTTATTAATTTTCTTAGCCTCTATTTCAGGTGTCGCCACAGCGGAATGAACCTTCAACTATTCTAGCATATGTTTTACACAGCGGATGCCCTTTTCAGCCTCAACCCAGTATTGGGAAACACCCATACACACTCATTCACACAATCACACGCGCACACACACACACATACACACACACACACACACACACACACACACACACACACACACACACACACACACACACACACACACAAGAAATGCCAACTAACCCAGCCAGGACTTAAACCAGCAACCTTCTTGCTGTGAGGTGACAGAGACAACCATTGATCCATCATGCCGCATAAATAAAACCAACCCGGGCTCATTGTGAAAACGTAGCCCCGCGGACGTTTCTGCGGACCGCGATTTACGTCCCGGGAGGTACGTATTCGAGCGGTTTTTGTTTTCGCGGATCCGTGAGAGGCCGCTGTGCGAGCTTTTTCGCGTCTCGGGCGCCTCTCGGGAGCGCGCGGCGTTCGCGCCCGCGCCGTTCTCGCGCGAAAAGCCGCCGGATCGAAAAAAAAAAAAAAGCAAAAGCCCTCGTCTTCGATTTCGACTGCGTTTTCGGATCCCGCCGCGTTCTCGCCCTTATTTTTCGGATTACGTTTTTCGTCTTGCCTGATTTCCAGAACCTGCTGTTCCCCGGACTCGATCCCGGTCGTCGTCCACCGCGGCCGGCTCCGGCTCCTCCTCCGGGGCAGCCGCTCCGCCGACGCAACGCTGTGAGCTAAGCGGACAAACTGATTGCATTGGGAAAGCCCTCCACTCAGAGGCGAGCCGTCGGCCGGCGAGCGCGAAGAGGAGGGGCGGAGCGGCGCCACACCACCCCACAGCGTTCGTTCGAAAAAAACCAAACGCGGCCTTTACGTACCTCCGGCCACGTAAATCGCAGTCTCCAGAAACGTCCGCGGGGCTACGTTTCCAGAATGAGCTTGGGTTGAATAAAACATACTACTAGAAATTGTTGATTAGTTCTAAATTCTCCCTAATTTAATTCTCCTGTATATTTGCCCATTTATGTGTAATTATAACACCTCCAATATTTTCTGAAAGAAAAACAATATTTGTTTCTAGTTAATTCTGGAGGACGCAAATTAATATGTAGCAAAATTTGCTGAAAATTATAAATATAGCTGCGACTTGTTGTAAAAACATTTTTTTTTTATGGAAAATTGCTTCACATTAATACTGAATATTGTACTCAGATCTTTCTTTTTTGTTTGTTAAGATGCTGATTAGGAGTGTATGATGGTATTTTTGACAAAGTGATGTTTTGTAAACAAATTTCGGGAGGAGCATGCGCAGAAGTTTCAGTATCGAATACATTATTGACAATTATTCCATTATCAATTCAGTTCTTGACCAAACCCCTATATATACCTGCAGCATTCACGACTTTAGCATCCCTCCACCACCCCGACACCTCACCTCTTAAGCATTACATTCCCGGGGGGAGCATTCTGGGACCGGGCTTGATACTTTGCTCGAATCCCAACTCCTCTTTGTTTTCTGATAAGGGGAATAACTCCATTTGGGGTGTCTCCCCGTGCTCAGAGCCCTCTCCCCGGACAGCACGCCAAATACACCTTTATACTTACACGACTGCAAGTGTGAACTCGTGGAAAGAAGTTTTTAATCATTCTTTTATTTATTTTAAGTGCAGGCCAGAACAACTGTCATTATAAGTTGAAATATAAATTTTTGTTGTGCTAAATGATGATTATTTTTTAAAATATTTTCACAAAAGTCATCTGAAACAATAAAGCAAACACTTTATTCACGTTAAAATGCTATCTAAACGTGTAAACGGAGTTGTGTAAACTAATGTCTTTCGGAAAACAAAATGGCAAAATATATATTATATAATATATATATAAATAATATAATATTTATTAAATTAGTATGTAAAACTGTACATTTTTGACTCAGCATCATTACAATAGACAATTTGAGGCCCGCTTTTTCTTTTTTTTACAAATCAGCATAAACGTAATTCATATTTTAATTCATATTCAACGTAATATATATTTAAATGGTGTTAATATGCATATTATGGCGTCACAGTGGCGCAGTGGGTAGCATGATCGCCTCACAGCAAAAAGGTCGCTGGTTCGAGCCTTGGCTGGGTCAGTTGGCATTTCTGTGTGGAGTTTGCATGTTTTCCCTGTGTTTGCGTAGGTTTCCCCCACAGTCCAAACACATGCGCTATAGGTGAATTAGGTAAGTTAAATTGGCAGAAGTGTATTTGGGTGAATGAGTGTGTATGGATGTTTCCCAGTGATGGGTTGCAGCTGGAAGGAAACATATGCTGGATAAACTGGCGGTTTATTCTGCTGTGGTGACCCCAGATTAATAAAGGGACTAAGCCAAAAAGAAAGTGAATGAATTAATGAATAATATGCATATTTATGAAAACATTATGTATTTTGTATTCTGTATTTTTAATGTTTTTTTTTGCAAATATGGCCCCAAGAGGCTGAAATATAAGTAATAATCTAGTTGTGAATGCTCCGCTGACCTCTGTTATGAATGGCCTGCTCCCACAGAATCCTCTCCAGATCTCTGGTCCAGCTCTCCTTCACCTCCCGACTCGCAGCCTGAAGCACATACGTGTCCTGAGTCTTCCTCCTCCGAAACCAGATCTCGAAACACAGTCCGCTGTCCCCAGAGTTATGAGTCATCCCGATGTCTGACGTCTGAGAGCACAGAAAACATCTCAACACACACGATAAGCACGTTTACATGCACACTAATACACTGATAATGCACAAAAATCAGCCTATTATTAGAATTGCCCCAGTTTATATACCAACTATTTCAAGTAATCCATGTTTGCAAAATTGTTTTAATAATCAGTTCCTTTTTTTTAAAGCCAAGCTTAAGACCCACTTGTTCAAAATGGCTTTTAATGCATAGTAGCACTGACACTTATCTCTGTTTTAATAGTTTGCTGTATTTTATTGGTATTTCTTGTATTGTTTTTGCATTGTTTGCTTTTTAGTTGTGTTGTATAATTAGTTTTTACTGGTTTAAAGCACTTTGATCAACCTCTTGTTGTAGCAAGGTGCTATACAAATAAAGGTTACTTGATTGATTGATTGATTGATTGATTGATTGATTGATTGATTGATTGATTGACCATGTAATAATTTGCATATCTAACTTTTAATAGAGAAAGTATTTAATTTGTTACTTTGGTTGTCATGTGAAACAATTTCTCTTCTATAGCTGTTCTATTTCTTCTATCTCATTAGATGTATGTCCTCCAGCCTACATTTTTTGCATGTAAAACCCCAAAGACGTACTTTAACATCTGTTTGACTGCAGTTTTTAGGTGAAATGAACACTAGGTGGCAGTATGATGACAACAACTTTGCTTCCTTTTCACACTAATGATATTTACAGGGACATATTATTGATGAATAAAGGATTATTTTCATGCAGTTCTTTGCACAACACATAATAAATACCACAAAACCATGCTATTTCATGACTAATACAGCAAAATCAAGCAAACCCTGTTGACAAAATTTTATTAATAAATCAGTTTCTGGTAGTGATGTCGATTTGTAATAAATAGCATATCTAACTTTGCTTTTAATTCAGAAAATATTTAATTCGTTACTATGGCTGTCATGTGAAATAACTTCTCATCTATTGCTCTTCTGTTTCTGCTGCTCAAGAAATGCAAAACACATTTAGTTAAATATCTGGTCAAAACAGGCTCATTGGAAACACATCAGTCTACATTTTTGCATGTCAACCCACAAAAACGAACTTTAACATACGTTTGACTGCAGTTTGTAGGTGAAATGAACACTAGGGGGCAGAATGACGACAACAACTTTCGTTCTTTTTCACACTAATGATATTTACAAGGACATATCAACTAATAAAGGATTATTTTCATGCAGCTCTTTGTATGACACACCACAAAACCAATGCTATCACGCGGCAATTCGTAACTTTTGATTTAGTGGCTAATTCGTATGAATTTGTACGATCTCATTCACACAGATTAGACTAAATTGTTATTCCTCCAATGACGGTTGGGTTTAGGGGTGGGGTTAAGTGATGCCACGCCTTATTTTAAAAACAACCCGGGCTCATTGTGGAAACATAGCCCCACAGACGTTTCAGCGGACCGCGAGATATGTCCCTGGAGGTACGTATTCGAGCGTTTTTTGTTTTCGCGAATCCGCAAGAGGCCGCTCTACGCGCTTTTTCGCGTCTCGCGGTAGCGCGCCGTTCGCGCCCACGCCGTTCTCGCGGGAAAAGCCGCCGGATCGGCCGACTCGGCCATCCTACTCTTCCTCCTCCTTCCCTAAACCCGAGCGACGGTTCGCAAAAGCCGTCCAGAAAAAAAAAAAAAAAAGCAAAAGCCCTCGTCTTCGATTTCAACCCCGTTTTTGGATCCCGCCGCATTCTCGCCCTTATTTTTTGGATTCCGTTTTTCATCTTACCTGTTTTCTGGAACCGCTGCTCCCCGGACTCGATCCCGGTCGTCGTCTCAGCGGCCGGCTCCTCCTCCGGGGCCTCCGCTCCGCCGACGCAACGCTGTGAGCTAAGCGGACAAACTGGTTGCATCGGGAAAGCCCTCCACTCGGAGGCGAGCCGTCGGCCAGCGAGCGCAAAAAAGAGGAGCAGAGCGGCGCCACACCGCCCCGCAGCGTTCGCTCGAAAAAAACTAAACGCGGCCATACGTACCTGGTCACGTAAATCGCGGTCTCCAGAAACGTCTACGGGGCTACGTTTCCAGAATGAGCTTGGGTTGTTTAAAAATCATACATTTCTGTTAAACTGAACTCGTACGAATTAGCTATTAAAATGACAAAACTCAAAACAGGTATGCTTCCTTGTGAGATCAGGCAGCACAAAACAACTCAACGCTGTCTATGATTTATAAGTGAATGCATTGGTGTCAATGTACTGTATCATGGCCAACTTTTCAATGCTCTGGGCTGCGGTGCATTACCTTGAAGGACTGTTTGTAGATGTACGTGTCGTTTCCGACGTCAGTTTTGCGAGTTTTGCTGAAGAGGATCAAATCTTGGAAGAGGAAAATGTGACGGTAACATTTCTTCTTCCTGAAGGTCAACAGAAACTCGTCCTGACGGATCAGCTGACCCTGCTCCTTCAGATTCACCTGCACACAACCAAAACACTTATTTTCAGAGCAGTGTCAGCTTATTATTATTTTTCATTCATTTTCCTTTGGCTTTGCCCCGTTATTTATCAGGGGTCGCCACTGTGGAATGAACTGCCAACTATTCCAGCAGAGGTTGTACACAAGGGATGCTCTGAAGCAATCAAAATCAATAAAAAAGACAAAATTAAACAAGCACTATGCAATATCACTAGTCCCAAGGGTTCTTTATAGGAGGATGGGACAGAATAGAATATAAGAATCAAATACTTTATTATAAGGCATTCTGGAATACTTGATTCTGATTGGTCCATCATGACGTTTCAAGGTATGTTGTTCTCCAATGCCAACTAATCACACTAATAACACAGACCTATCTGGGTGCTACAAATCATCTTGATCATTAATAAACATATACATAAACTTGTCTGTCATATCGCTGTTTTTGACTGTTAAGTGCCATCTTGAATATTAAATAGGTTAGTATAGGCTGCATTCAGCCATTTGTTGAAGAACTAGTTAGTTATTTTAGCTCAAATCAATGTTTTTGTTGTCTACTAGTTTCATGGCTAGCATTGTGATAAGTGGGATAATGTACATATAGACTGTTGTTTTCGCAGAATAAAGCCCTTTAATCTTACATAAGCTGCTGATAAACTTGTCAGGCTTTTTTCCTGTGATAACAACCGCTAATGCACATAATCCCTTAAAGTGTAAGTTAAGTGTTGAATTAAGGTTAAATTGAGCAGGTCCTTCCACCAGCAGAGAACAGTAGGGTTATATAGTAAAAATACTATATTAAATTAAATTAAATAGTAAAGTAAATTAAATTAAATACTATAGTAATTTATTAATTCATTAATTTTCTTGTCGGCTTAGTCCCTTTATTAATCCGGGGTCGCCACAGCAGAATGAACCGCCAACTTATCCAGCAAGTTTTTTTACGCAGCGGATGCCCTTCCAGCCGCAACCCATCTCTGGGAAACATCCACACACACTCATACACTACGGACAATTTAGCCTACCCAATTCACCTGTACCGCATGTGTTTGGACTGTGGGGGAAACCGGAGCACCCGGAGGAAACCCACGTGAACGCAGGGAGAACATGCAAACTCCACACAGAAACACCAACTGAGCCGAGGTTCGAACCAGCGACCCAGCAGCCTTCACTACCTACTGCGCCACTGCTTCGCCTATAGTAATTTATAGTAAATTCAAAACATTTGAATCATATTATAGTAAAGTGTATTACTGTATTTATTACAAGCTTGTATTGTAGTATAATATTGTAACACAGTGGATCTCAAACTTTTTTCATCAAGTACCACCTTAGAAAAGAATTGCCTCTCCAAGTACCACCATAATATGCAGTACTGAAATACAGTATAGAGTAGTAGGCCTGATGAAGCAGCTGCAGCACTGCACAGTTCAAAAACGAGGCAGATTAATTGTTATAATTATAAATATTTATTATTGTCAGCCACTTTAACATTATAAATAGTTTGAACATTAGCACTGTACTGTGCTTATATGTAAAAAAAAAAACAAAAACAAAAAAACAAATAGAAATAAAACACCAATGGTGAAATTAAAATGTGCTTTTAAAAGTTAAAATGGAAAGATTACTGTTCTTAAAAAGTAAAAAAAAAAAAAAAACTCCTGTACTTAAATGTGAAGTATTAACATATAGTAGCCAATTCATCAACACCTGGAAATGTTGCCTGGACCTCAGAAATGTAGGCTACATGTCATCATATTCATATATAAATCATTTTTGATCAGTTTTGAAATATATGTAGCATGTACATATGACATATTTGATTCCTCCGCATACCTCCAGAAGGAAGACAGCGTACCATTGTTGTACCATATAGTCGTAGAAAACTACAGATTGGTCCATTAATTTATAATACTATAGATGTTCTGTTATCGTAGCACCTACAGAATAACCCGAACAGATTTACTAAAGTACTTTACTATAACATGGTTTTAAAAACACTACAGTTCATTCATTTTCTTGTCAGCTTAGTCTCTTTATTAATCCGGGGTCGCCACAGCGGAATGAACCGCCAACTTATCCAGCACGTTTTTATGCAGCGGATGCCCTTCCAGCCACAACCCAACTCTGGGAAACACCCACACAGTCATTCATACACACACTCATACACTACGGACAATTTAGTCTACCCAATTCATCTGTACCGCATGTCTTTGGACTGTGGGGGAAACCGGAGCACCCGGAGGAAACCCACGCGAACACAGGGAGAACATGCAAACTCCTCAAAAAACGTCAACTGAGCCGAGCCAAGCCAAGGTTCGAACCAGCGACCCAGCGACCTTCTTGCTGTGAGGCAAAAGCACATTCAACTGCGCCACTGCATCACCCATACACTACAGTATTTACTATAAAGTACTACAGTATTTTCTTTTCATATGTGGATGGAGGGAGTGTACTAGTCATTACTGGTTATCTTTTATTTTCTGCACCCACTGAACTTCTGTCCCATTTAAAGCACCCTCTGAAAATAAATTCATGACCGATTTATCTTTCTAATTACAGTGTGTGTGTGTGTGTGTGTGTGTGTGTGTGTGTGATGTGGGCATCGCCATCCTGACCTATAAAAATATGTTCACCTTTTTACGCAAGCTGCACCTATAATCCACTTGCTAAGCATACTCATTTGATATTCAAGGTAAAACTGAACTCAATTCTCTATACTGTCTTATTATATTCTACATGGCATTATGACAAGCTACACTTCTCTCTGAGTATCCTCATTTACACTCTCTGTTGCATGTTGTTGTAAGTGTGTGAGTGAGTGTGATTTTCTGATGTTTACACTGGGTTTATTTTGCTCCGTCAGTGTAAATCTTTGGCATTTCATCATCCAGAAAGCACAAAGCCAGCATTGAAGTTGAACACACAGTCTTTTATTCAACGACGAACCCTCAGTGTGTGCAATAGTGACTCTTGCCATAACATGCGTTTCCCATTCATAATTACAGGCTGCTTTTTAGAGCCTAGTTCTGTAAACTTAATAGATTTAATGTTATTTAAATATCATTTGGGTGGCGAGGTGGGTATCGCTGTCACCTCACAGCAAGAAGGTCGCTAGTTCGAACCTCAGCTGGGCCATTTATCGTTTCTGTAGGGAGTTTGCATGTTCTCCCTGTGTTGGTTTCCTCTGGGTGCTCCTTTTCCCCCCACAGTCCACACACATGCGCTATAGGGGAATTGGGTAGGCTAAATTGTCCGTAGTGTACAGTATGTGTGTGAATGAGAGTGTATGGGTGTTTCCCAGAGATGGGTTGCAGCTGGAAGGGCATCTGCTGCATAAAACATATGCTAGATAAGTTGGCGGTTCATTCCGCTGTGGTGACCCCTGATTAATAAAGAGACTAAGCCAATAAATACTGTAGTTTATTTTAGTTTTTACTATCGTAAACTGTGGTGTATTGTAGTATAATAAACACTATGTATGTAGAAAACAATAATGTTGAATCATTTGTTTATATTTGTTTATATTATTTTAGTCGGTGTGTTGGAATTACCACAACAGATTCATTTAAGTACTATAGTATGGTTCAAAACACTAACGCATTGACTAACTTCTGTAGTATTTTTAAAAATAGAGTCAGCGTTATTTCAATACTATTTATGTACAATATAGTATTTGTTCTAGTGTTAATTGAAACTTTTATAAATAATATTATTTTACAGTTTGTTGTTTACATATATTTAATCTTGTAATGTGCTTTCATTCACTAATTTTTTTTACATATTTCTACCTTTCATTTACAGTATATTGATTAAATGTTTAATTTTTCTTTCTTGTTTACATTTTAATAAACATTTATTTATTGTTTAATGATTTATTTAGCTTTAATGTTTATTTATTTACTTGTTTACTAAATAAATTTATGGCAATTTTGTAATAACCCTTCAATACTTACTACAATGAGATTATTCATTTTAAATGTCTTCACAGTTGCTGTTAATGACATTTTTATCATTTAATTGTTATTAAATGCACAAAGCCAGATAAAACAACTAAGTAAAAGCCAGAAATGTTTATTTGGCAAAATAAATAAATAAATAAATAAATAAATAAATAAATAAATAAATAATAATAATAATAAATAATAATAATAATAAATATATATATATATATATATACATTTGAAGTCAGAATTATTAGCCCCCCCGTTTATTTTTTTCACCAATTTCTGTTTAACGGAGAGCAGATTATTTTCAACACATTTCTAAACATAATGGTTTCAATAACTCATCTCTAATAATTGATTTATTTTATCTTTGCCATGATAATAGTAAATAATATTTGACTAGATATTCTTCAAGACACTTCTATACAGCCTAAAGTGTCATTTAAAGGCTTAACTAGGTTAATTAGGTTAACTAGGCAGGTCAGGATAATTAGGCAAGTTGTTGTATAACGATGGTTTGTTCTGTAGACTATCAAACAAATAGCTTAAATAGCTTAAATAGGCAAATAACTTTAACCTTAAAATGGTTTTCAAAAAATTAAAAAACTGCTTTTATTCTAGCCGAAACAAAACAAATAAAACTTTCTCCAGAAGAAAAAATATTATCAGACATACTGTGAAAATTTTCCTGCACTGTTAAACATAATTTGATATATATATATATATATATATATATATATATATATATATATATATATATATCAGTTAAATATTATTTTATAAAATAAATCAATATTTAGAATTTGTTTTTACATATTTTTCAATCTTTTATTTGTTTACTGTTTATTTTTTATTTGTCTTTTTATGTCTTTTAGTAACCCTTCAATTCCTATACTGTAAAAAGCAAGTTAATTTACTTTTAAAAAGTGAGTAAACATGTTGTAACATGCAGTTAAGTTGGCTTAATTTTTTTTACAATTATGCACACTTAATTATTTTAAAGCAATAGGTTCACTTACTTTTTAAAGTAAAGTAAACGACTCGCTTTAAAAGCAACAGATTTTAATTACTTTTAAAAAAATCAACTAATTGAAAAGCAATGGGTTTGCTCATTTAAGCAGCGGCCAAATCCCCCCTTTTTAAAATGAAGTCAACTAATCACTTTAAAAGCAATGGGTTTGCTCACTTTTTAAAGTAAAGTCAGCTAATCACTTATCACAGTGAAATTTTGTTTTATTCAAGATTGGAAACCAACCAATGTGAAATGATGTGCACAAATAAATAATTTCACTCGTGTTGACTTTAATGGACATAGTGCGTGTGTGTGTGTGTGTGTGTGTGTGTGTGTGTGTCTCACATCGCAGCCGTAGATGTCGTCCATGGCGAGCAGATTGTTTCCGTGCCGCAGCTGGAACTGGATGATGTTTAAAGCGGTGTGTATTTCTGTGCGCTGCAGTTCTGCATTTGTCACACACTCACACTCACGCAGCAGATCCTGCAGCAGCAGGCTGTATTTGCTGATGCGCTGCACCGGCTTCAGCAGATATGAAGACAAGTCCAGAGCATCCTTCAGCAGCTGCTGCTTCTGCTGCAAAACATACACGGACACACACTCAGAATAAGTGTATTATGCAAGTATTTAACTCCTAAAAAAATAAATAAAAACTCTTGTTTTTTCAATTAAAAGAAGGATTTTGTCTCTGTTAATATTTTGCAACAAGAAGGAGCTGCCCATGCAGATTATTAACATTACATTATTACCATTTATGTTGCAGCGCGCATCCTAATACTGGACTGGTCAATATTTTCAAGACGAAATGTCTCTAAATTAAATCAGAAACTATAATTTTTCCCTAAATCCAATATAAAAATGTATAAAAAACTTAGTTGTTTTCTTTTTTGTATCGATCATAATTCAATTGTAAACAAAAAGGTCATATTTTCTATAGGAGATCATAATGCATATCCCTAATATAAAAAAAACACAAATGCATGTGTCTAAAAACATCAGATTAGTATTGGGGAGAGACGGAGTTTATTTCTCACCTTAAAGAAGTCTTTGCCGTGCTGGATGAGCAGGTTCTCTGAGCGAGGCTTGTTCTTGCTATATAAGGCGTAAAGACCGAAACTTTCTTTCTGCAAAAAAAAAAATAAAATAAATTATGGACGCAGCATGGTTTGTGGTTCTTTGTGTGAAGATAGTATAAAGATAATATTTTTAGTATTTTTCAGTAAGTCTGGTACTGTCACATTGATAGTTAAACCACATTGGAGTGTTTTCAAGCATGAATCGCATTTTTAGGGTCGTGCATCTCAATTGCATTCAGGTCAGGACTTTGACTAGGCCACTCCAAAATCTTCATTTTGTTTTTCTTCAGCCATTCTGAAGTGGACTTGCTGGTGTAGTTTTCTATTTTTTGCCTCAATAATAAAAACCTGTCTTTATGTTTATGCATGATGTGTTTACTTGTGTTGTCTTTGACTAATGTTATCTTCATACTGAAGTAATTTCCTAATTTCTTTCTCCAAAATTAGGGTGATGCCTTTGGATTTGAGTTGAATATTCATTTGTTTGTGTGAAAAAGTGTTTGCCCCTTACTGACTTCCTCTTTTCTGCATGTTTGTCACACTTTAATGTTTCAAAGCATGAATATGTATCAAATATTTGTATGTTTTGTTTTGTTTAACATTTTTTCTGGATTTTTCAACATTATAAATAAACGTAAATCTTTAATTTTAGACTAATGCATAGATAAATATTAGTCTCAGATTGTGGGGTTCATTATTAATCTGGCATAGCTGCAATGACATCTTCAGTCATTGTATCTCAAGTAAAACCAGAGAAAAACAGTGATGTTTAAGGTAGTTTCTGGTTGACGTTTCATTATATACAGTATAAACAGTGGTGTGAAAAAGTGTTTGCCCCCCTACTGATTTCTATTTTTAGCCACACTTTAATCCTTAAATATCATTAAACTAATTTCTAAATCCTTTAAAACAGCATAAATAACTTCCACAAGAATATAAAGTGGGTTTGTGTGTGTGTGTGTGTGTGTGTGTGTGTGTGTGTGTGTGTGTGTGTGTGTTTGGATTACAGATGTTTTGCATGTGTAATTGTGTGGAGGGCTCACGTGTTTTAGGAAGCAGCGTCCCACACTGAAGGGCTTTTCCAGACAGAGCTCCAGCTCCTGAATAAAGTGATGTTGGTGAAAATCTCGCAGCTTCTCCAGATTCCCGAAGATTAATCCTCTCTGTCCGCGCAGGTCCTGCGGCACGTCGGGACGCTCCAGCTCCGGCATATAGTTCTCCACCACATACGCCAGAGCCCGAACATACTCCTGCTCCGTCTGCAACAACTCCTGCATGATCCGCTGCAGTTTACTGACACAAAACACACAACCACGCATACAGTAAGAGCCTGAACACGAAGTTCATTATTCAGAATATGACTTCACATCAATAACGCTCAATAGGAATCATCGTATAGCCTACAGTGGTGTGAAAAAGTAATTACCTCCCTTACTGATTTGACATATTTTTTCTGCATATGTAAGTGTTTCATGTTTTAGATCATGAATATGTGTTAAATATTACAGCATTTTCAACTTTAGTAATACACAGAAATCTTTATTATTTGACTGATGCATAAATATTATAGTCTCAGATTGTGGCGTTCATCATTTATCTGGCATAGCTACAATGACATCTTCATTTATTATATCTCATGCGGAACGAGAGAAAAATAGCAACATTTCTGGTAGTTTCTGGTAGACGTACAGTATATATAACAAAGAAATGTTCACAGTATGTCTGATAATATTTTTTCTTCTGGAAAAAGTTTTATTTGTTTTATTTCAGCTAGAATAAAAGCAGTTTTTAATTTTTTAAACACCATTTTTGGGACAATATTATTAGCCCCTTTAAGCAATTTTTTCCCCGATAGTCTGCAGAACAAACTATCGTAAAAGAATAACTTGGCTAACTACCCTAACCTGCCTAGTTACCCTAATTAACCTAGTTAAGCCTTTAAATGTAACTTTAAGCTGTATAGAAGTGTCTTGAAGAATATCTAGTCTAATATTATTTACTGTCAACATGGCAAAGATAAAATAAATCAGTTATTAAAGATGAGTTATTAAAACTATTATGTTTAAAAATGTGTTGAAATCTTCTCTCCGTTAAACAGAAACTGGGAAAAAAATAAACTGTTGGGCTAATAAATCAGGAACTAATAATTTCAGCTGCATATATATATACAGTGGTGTGAAAAAGTGTTTGCCATGACTTAAATAATAGTCAATCATAACACGTAAATGCATCATGAGGTTTTGAAGTGAAGGTTTTCATAATTAAGGAAAAGCTAAATGTAAAACTAAATAGCCCTTTGTGAAAAAGTGTTTGCCCCCAAAGCCTAATAACGACAACAACCGAAATCAAGCATCTTTTATAACTCGCAATGAGTCTGTTACAAATGAAGGAACTTTGGCCTGCTCATTTTTGCTGAATTGCTATTATTCAGCCATATTTAAGGGTCTTAAAGCATGAAGTGGCTTTTTAAGGTCATGTTGCCGCATCTTAATTGGATTCAGGTCAGGACTTTGACTAGGCCACTCCAAAGTCTTCATTAGGTTTTTCCTCTGGCATTCAGAGGTGGACTTGCTGGTGTGCTTTGGGTCGTTGCTCTGCTGCAAAACCCAAGTTCGCTTCTACTTGAGGTCACTAACAGATGGATATTCTCCTTCAGGATATTTTGGTTCACAGCAGAATTCATGGTTTCATTCATTTATTTATTTTCTTGTCGGCTTAGTACCTTTATTAATCCGGGGTCGCCACAGCGGAATGAACCGCCAACTTGTCCAGCAAGTTTTTACGCAGCGGATGCCCTTCCAGCCGCAACCCATCTCTGGGAAATAAATCAATATTATTCGACATAATTCTTTTTAAGAGTTCACACTATAATCCCCCCCCCCCTTATTTAGAGCTAATGGCAAATTAGAGACTGCTATGTTGAGATATACTGCTGGTTATGAGCTTGACTACTGTGCCAATTTGGATTGGTCGATTCCCCTAAGCAGGGTTCAACGCTAAGGATTTTTTCTGCTGGCCCAATCGGACTAATGGTTTAGATTTTTACTTGCCCTGCCAATATTCTCACTGGCCCCTCCAAAAAAAAGTTAATAGCTATTTCTTAGGCACAAATATAACAAAAAGTATCAAAATGTTTGTAAATATAGAATTTAAATATTTTTTAAAAATTATAAATGTGCAATGAGCAAGTGTTTTGAAACAAAAGATGGCTAAAGACCAGCCAAACTGACGGCAAACTGTACAAAAGATCACTTAATTTTTTTTTGTCGTGGTGTACCCTGGTATATGTCTGCTTCCAAGACGTTAGAAACAAATGTTTTCCTTTAACATCATCATTTGATGTTACCGCCATGTTGCTGTCTCTTCATTGTACTAATAACGTGCTCACATCATCCAATCAGATAAGAAGAACCGAGAAGGTAGCATTTGAAGGCTTGAAAATACGAACTGTTTCTCAATTCTAAAACTGTATTTGCACGCAACTGACAAATAGTCACAGGCAAATTAAACTTTAGTAACAAGGCAGCAGTGGCCCAATCGGGCCAGTAACGATCCTGTCTACTGTCCCGAGCATCTCACACGCTGGCCCCGGGCCATCGGGCAGTCCTTATTGTTGAGCCCTGCCCCTATGATTCACCTAATCATGCGATAGCCAACGTGGGACCAGCCGTGATCAATCATAAGCACGTGCTCCTCTCGAAATTAGTTTATAAATAAACTTCTATCACTAAACCTGTTGAATGACTGAATGCTTCCTCAATTGCAAGTCGCATAGGACAAAAGCGTCTGCTAAATGACTGAAGGTAATATACAGTAGGCTGTGTTTGACTCACAGTGCAGTGCTGGTGTTCTCCAGTATACATTCAGGCTTGCAGACGGACTCCTCCTGCTTTGTAAACGCGTTATCTGAACATCTCACTCCTGAGCCGTGATCCTCAGATCCGCAGTCACTGCTGCACTTTTGGCTGAATCCCGAAGCGCTGGAGCAGAAACTGTCATGCTGATTGAGTTCAGAGCTCAGTCCTTCTAATGATGCTCCAACACAGGAGGCTGCAGCATCGGTTTTGCACAGAGGAATGTTATAACGGTAGCCTCGCAAGCAGGATTCTGCACTTTGAGAGCGGATGAAGACTTTATAATGTGCTGTTTGACCAAACTTATGGATCCGTCCTGATTTTCTGAGATCATCGTCACTGTGAGAGTGTTTATGATGATGCTCTTTTAACTTTCTGTCAGAGGGATGGTGTGATATAGCTTGAGGTTCATGCAAATGACTTGTGTTTTGGTCTGTGCATTGAACAGATTCCTGAATATGTGATGCAGAGTCTTTATGCATGCTTGGATTGCGTGATGTATTATTAGTTTCCTGCAACATACTGGCTTTTTGGACTGTGCATTGAACAGATTGTTGAGCATGTGATGTAGATTCATTATGCATGCTTGAGGCATTGTGTAATTTGTCTTTAGTTTCATGCAAATGTCTTGTTTCTTGTTCTGTGCATTCAACAGATTGTTGAATGCGTGATGCAGATTGTTCATGCACGCTTGAAGTCATTACTTGCTCAAACTTTGATCCCTCTGCAGACTGTAAATACGTCAGTGTCTCATTATCACCCTGTTCGGCGGCTCTATTTTGGGTTTGACCGCTGACAGGGTTCAATTGTGCCTCGTCCTGGCTGTCCTTGTGTGTGTGTGCGGCCTGCAGGATCTCGGAGAGCCGCTGTCGGATGTCTCGGCATTGAGTCTGCACTGCGTTCCACATCCAGATCCCATCCGGAAGCCTCTCCAGCAGGGCGGCGCTCCTGTCCTGAAAGTGCTGGGGTGAGAAATGTTGAAAACGCTGCTCAAATGCATGCAGGGAACTCCAGCAGACGCTCATCGGGGAGTTTGAGGACTTCATGTGATCTAAATACTCCATACACTCCTTCACAAGAGACGAGGCCTGGGGGACAAAGAAGAAGTCATTTTAGACTGAATATATTTAGAATGTTTATTTATATTTGGTTGTTTTATATAACGTTTGGACTGTTTTTAGGTAATGTATACATGACTGGAGATATTTTAGTTGTACACTTTACACTTTTAAATGAATGCTTGTCATAAGACTCAAGCATTCAAGAGCACTGTAGTATAATGTTGTTTTTAAATTAAGTCTTTTCTGGTTATTATAATAAAATAAAATAAAATAAAATAAAAAAGTTAGATTTAAAGTAAATTTTATTCCTTTGAAAAAAGGTGTAAAGGTGAATTTTCTGCAGCATTACTGCTGTCTTTAGTGTTTATAATATATAATATATAATGTTTTTTAAGATTTCTGGGAAAAAATAGAGTAAAAAAACAATAATAATGAAATGAAATTAAATGAAATTAAATTAAAGGAATTTCATTCCTTAGAAATAAGGTAAGTAAAATAAAGCTAAATAAAAAAAAAATAATAAAATAAAATAAAATAAAAAAACAGTAATAAAATAAAATAAAATAAAATAAAGTTAAATTAAAGTTAAAGTTAATTTTATTTAATTTTATTGAGTTGAATTTTCTGCAGCATTACTGCTGTTTTCAGTATTTATATAATGTTTTTAAAGATGTTTTTAACGTCTTTTCTGGACAAAATACAGTAAAAACACTATAAAATAAAATATAATAAAATAAAAACATTAAAAAAAAATTTAATAAAATAAAAACATAAAAATAAAATATAATAAAATAAAAACATAAAAATAAAATAAAATAAAATTAAATTAAATTAAATTAAATTAAATTAAATTAAATTAAATTAAATTAAATTAAATTAAATTAAATTAAATTAAATTAAATTTTCTTTTATTTTCTTTTCTTTTCTTTTCTTTTCTTTTCTTTTATTTTATTTTATTTTATTTTATTTTATTTTATTTTATTTTATTTACAAAGTGAACTTTAATCCGTTAAAAAAATGTGTAAAGCTGAGTTTTCAGCATCATTACTGCTGTCTGCTCTGTTCATCAGGGCAAAATACAGTAAAAACAGTAATATTGTTAAATAAATAAAAAATAAATTCAATAGAAAGTGAATTGTAAAAGCGCTATACAAATAAAGATTAATTGAATTGAATTGTATTCCTTTAGTGTAAAGCTGAGTTTCCAGCATCATCTACAAAAGCTGAATTGACAGCATCATCTTTCAGTAACTCTGTGTTAAATATCTGTTTTCCCACAGAAATGCATGACAATGTTAATGGACTGACCTCCTCACAGAAGCGATAGAGATCCACAGATGTCTGCAGATCAGATTTACGCTCTTCTGCTTTCAGGAGAAACCCTGTCATCCTGGTTTTAAACCCAGTGGTGTAACATCTAAACGCATCCGTTTCAGGATAATGTGTGCCTTTGCTTTTCCTCTCCACGTCCTTTATCAGCAACATCCCTCTTTCTTTATTCTCCTACAAAAGCAAGAACGAGATGTTTTTTGCACACATTGCACAAAATATCTCCATCCGTCATCCGTTATCTTTATTCAAGACCGCACATTCCCAAACTATCAGCACAACTCTGGTATCTTTATTACTTAGTGATTCATTTGAACTCAAAAGCTCACATTAATCCATTACTGTCTGACATTTTTCAGGTGTTATGAAGGCAGACATTCATTTTCCTTCGGCTTAGTCTCTGATTTATCAGGGGTTGCAACAGCGGAATGAACTGCCAACTGTTCCAGCATATGATTTAGCAGCAGATGGCCTTTCAGCTGCAACCCAGAACTGGGAAACATTTATACACACTCATATTCACACACCACGGTCAATTTAGCTTATTCAATTCCCCTATAGTGCATGTGTTTAACCAGAGAACCCGGAGGAAACCCACACCAACATGGGGAGAACATGCAAACTCCACACAGAAATCCCAACTGGCCCAGCCGAGACTCGAATTAGTGACCTTCTTGCTGTGAGGTGACAGTACTAATCACTGAGCCACCGTGCTGTCACAAATTACAGTATTTTTTTAACATTTGGTTCAAAGTATCATCTTCTCAGTGTATGTCCGATTGAAAGTCTTGAGGATTTTCACCTTTGCTTGTCTGAGGAGGGTCTGTGTGTCTTGAAGTCTCTGCTGGATCTTCTGCAGGGTTTTCTCTGCGTCGTCTTTGTCTTTCTGCCATAACCGCTCTTCTGCATCACACCATTTTTGGATCTGCAAACATCATAGGCATTAAACACAAGCTGAATTGATGATATTTATGTTCACAGAAGACACTTCAGGAATCTGCTATCACACACTGTTGACTCTCTCAGACATAAAGATAAGTTATATATATATATATATATATATACAGTTGAAATCAGAAATATACCCCCCTGAATTATTAGCCCCCTGTTTATTTTTCCTCCAATTTCTGTTTAACAGGGAGCAGATTTTTTCAGCACATTTCTAATCATAATAGTTTTAATAACTCATCTCTAATAACTGATTTATTTTATCTTTGTCACAATGACAGTAAATACTGTTTGACTAGATATTCTTTAAGACACTTCTATACAGCTTAAAGTGACATTAAAGGCTTAACTATCTTAATTAGGTTAACTAGGCAGGTTAGAGTAATTAGGCAAGTTATTGTATAACAATGGCTTGTTCTTTAGACTATCGGAAATATAAATAGCTTTAAATTTAATTTTGACTATAAAATTATTCATAAAAAATTTAAAACTGCTTTTATTCTAGCCAAAATAAAACAAATAAGACTTCCTAAGACTTCCTCTAGAAGAATATATATATATATATATATATATATATATATATATATATATATTCTTCTAGAGAAAGTCTTATTTGTTTTTACCATTTTTAAATAATTCCCAAATGGTGTTTAACAGAGTAAGCATATTTTCACAGTATTTCTGATAATATTATTTGTTTTGTTTCAGCTGGAATAAAAGCAGTTTTTAATTTTTTAAAGACCATTTTAAGGTCAAAATTATTAGCCCCTTTAAGCTATATTTTTTTCAATACTCTACAGAACAAACCACTGTATACAATAACTTGCCTAATTACCCTAACCTGCGTAGTTAACCTAATTAACCTAGTTAAGCCTTTAAATGTCACTTTAAGCTGTATAGAAGTGTCTTGAAGAATATCTAGTCTAATATTATTTACTGTCATCATGGCAAGGATAAAATAAATCAGTTATTAGAGATGAGTTATTAAAACTGCTATGTTTAGAAATGTGATGAAAAAATCTTCTTTCTATTCAACATAAATTGGGGAAAAAATAAACGGGGCTAATAATTCTGCCTTCAGTTTTACATATATGTGTATATCAACAAAAATTGTCAATTCTCACTATTAATATTGGTTACTACTTGCTATTATTAAAATATTGTCTGTTTAGCACATATTCTGCATGATTTTATTTTACATCCATAATCCTAAACCCAACTACTACCTTAAAAACTATTAATAAACTGCAAGTAAGAAGTATATTGAGCTAAAACTCAGAGTTAATGGTTTATCACTAGCAAGATTTGTACCTTAAAATAAAGTATGACCATCTATAAAAATTACTATAACTACAGAAGCATACCATGTTACAAAAACATTATATTTATTACATGTGTGTCTTGTCGCCTGTTATTTTAAATGCTTGGATGCAGTTTTAGCATTAAAGAGTGGGAAACAATCCTAATCCTAATAATTATTACAATTCTTTATTACACAATTATTAATATACTATTAATAAATTTCACTATGAGTTCTTAAAAAAACTAAGTAAGCATTTAAATACATATAGAAATAAAACTGTTTATTACAGCTGGCTTTATTTAGCGCAGTGCTGTTGTGTTTCAGACTGAAGGCTGACACTGTCTGTCTGTCTATATGACACTGGCTGATTTATTCTCTGCACCAGACACTCTTCACTTCTTAGTGTTTGTCTTGTGTTATTTTCAGCTTCTGTAGGCTGTAGACTCATTATCTGTCAGAAACGTACGGTGTGGAGCGAGTCTTGAGTTTCCCTCAGCAGAAGAACGTGTTCGAGGTGTTGCAGAGACTGGTTGGACTTCATCACCAGCGTGTGAACGGACTCTTCCACCTGGTCATAAAGACACGTCACTGACTCCAGAGAGTCTCTGCAGGACACAGAAAAACACACATCTGAGGGTTAGTGTGCCTTCTGGGATTTAGTGTGGAAAAAAGTCTTTAAACAAAAATTGTCTACAAACAAACCACTGTTGACTTGCCTGATTACCCTCACTTTAACCTAATTAACCTAGTTAAGCCTTTAAATGTCACTTTAAGCTGTATAGAAGTGTCTTGAAAAATATCTAGTCTAATATTATTTACTGTCATCATGACAAAGATCAAATAAATCAGTTATTAGAGATGAGTTATTAAAATTATTATGTTTAGAAATGTGCTGAAAAAAATCTGCTCTTCGTTAAACAAAAATTGGGGAAAAATATTCAGGAGGGCGAAAACTTCTGAGGTTATGTGGGTTCTCTAATGGAGTGCATATTGTGTTTAAAGGCTCTTGTTGTTACGTAAACAGGATGAAGTTGGACACAACAGCTGTCTAAACATTATGATCACAGTAAACATGTGCGTCTCTGTAGACGAGTAACTTAATATTCAGACAGACTGAAGGAAACACCTGAAGTCCTCAGAATGGGCGAATCGAGACTCCTCCCTCCTCATCCTGGCCAGGATAGCCCCGCCCTCTCTCTGCAGCGCAACTAATCGCGTGTCTTCAAGCACCATCTTCATAGAACTCCTTTGCTCCTGGATGCAGGACTGGACATCCTGAATAAAGTGAGGTTACTTCAGGAGGTATTATATTAAAATAAATTATAAGCTTTTCAGCTATCCATTAATTTTCAATTAAGTTTGAAATTTAATTTAATTTAATTTAATTTAATTTAATTTAATTTAATTTAATTTAATTTAATTTAATTTAATTTAATTTTATTTTATTTTATTTTACTTTATTTTATTTTATTTTATTTTATTTTATTTAATTTTATTTTATTTTATTTTATTTTCATTTTCTTTTCAGCTTAGTCCTTTTTTAATTTAATTTAATTTAATTTAATTTAATTTAATTTAATTTAATTTAATTTAATTTAATTTAATTTTTTATTTTATTTTATTTTATTTTATTTTATTTTATTTTATTTTATTTTATTTTATTTTATTTTTAAAATGGTAACACACATTAACATTTAATTAAATTGATTTATTAAATGAACAAAAAACTATTTAATTTGACCTTCTTGCTGTGAGGCGAAATTGCTACCCACTGTGCCATTGTGCAGCCCTTTATTTAACATTATTATGTATATTTTTTATATTTTTTGTTATTTTTTTGCTTATTTCAAGTATTTAATAGTTTTCTTCACAAAAACAACATTGTCTCAGATTAGGAATGCATATTGTACTCTAACAACTGATTTTAGAGATTCATTGTCATTGTTTATATTAGATATTTAATATTGTATGCTAATTTGTCTTATTATAATTCCACTTAATCTTTAAAAAACACTAATATGTTAGTACAATAGCTAAATACAACCTTTTACAAACCTCTAAATTATAAATATGTCTTACTGTACATTAGGAAGTTTTAATTTATATATTAATTTGTAATAATTAAAATCAAAGCATCAAAGTGTTTTTTTCTGAATAAACAGAGCTTGAATCAGAGCAAAAAAAATAAACAATAAAATGTGAAAAATTGTATATTAATTAAATAACCGAAAATTATTGGAAAAGTAATAATATTAGTGCATTTTTTATGCTTCAAAAAAGAAAAAAAATAACTAAAGCATCGGTGCATGAATGTGTATTATTATAATCCCAGTGTTTACCTTTGCAGTGTCTGTTCTTTTAACATCCAGTCTCCTGATTGCGGTATGTAGTAGTGAAGACGCTGCTTCAAGTTCGATTTGAAAGAGGGAAAGTTTCTGCAGCACAAGTAAAAGAAAAGAAGACATATTTATAATGGCTTCATGACAATCATGTTTATGACAGATTTATGACAATCTCTGTTGTCTTTGTAATGTCATGTTGTCATGATAAAGACAAAAACAAGTTGTGATGTACTTCTTAATGTCAAGTTGTCATAACAAACAATGTCGCCTTTACATTTAAAATGACAACTGAGCTAATGACATTTAATAACAGTTGTTATAAGCATGCATAAAATCTCATTCACATTCATGACATGTGTCATGTCACGATTATAAAGGTTTAATGACATATAAACATTTTTAAACATCTAATAAACATTCTTATAAACATCTCTTCAAGTAAATTGTTACCAAAAGAATAGTGATGGCAGAAACTGTACATTTTAAAAGGATAGTTCTAACAAAGGTTAAAATGATGTTATCATTTACTCATCCTCCTTTAATTTCTTTCTACTGTCGAACAAGAAGATATGCTTAAAAATAATGCTGGAAAAACAAAAACAGTCATTGACTTCTATGTTGTTTTTTTTGTTCTTACTATGGAAGTTGGTAGCTCCAACATTTTTCAGAATATCTTCTTTTATGTTCAACAGAAAAAATATGAAAATTCATAAAGGTTTTCGACCACTGGAGTGTGAGTAAATTTCATTTTTGTGTGAACTGTCCCTTTAATTCTTGTTGTAATTCTACATTGTTAAAAGTGAAAACCTACACTATGTACAACAGCATGTTACAACTACATGAATTAATTAGCTTCCACTTAATTTATTACTATTTTAAATAAGTAAATAAATAGGAAAATCTTAATTCTTTTAGGTGTAAGACGTCATTAATTTATCATTAATATAGTCACTTTATTTTTTTCTACCTGGTGAAACTGAAGCCAGTCTTCATGACTGTACGGGAAGCTTCCGGAGAGGTCAGAGGTCAGCTGATGTCCATCCACTGTCTTATGAAGAGCTTTCAGTGACGTCACAACATCTATCTGAGAGAAACCATCATGCATTTTAACATACTGTACAAGAACCAAGCACTAATATTACATACACACTGGGATCTGTATTTTCATGAGTATGCATTTGTGAATAAAATAAATAAAATACAGTGAAAAATGCTAAATATTATTATGGATTAAAATAACTGGTTTTGATTATATTAAATTTTAAAATCTTATTTATTTAAATGATTCAAAGCTGAGTTTTCAGCATCATTACTTCAGTCTTCAGTGTCAAATGAGATCATTTTAATATGCTGATTTCGAGATCAAGAAACATTTCTCATTACCAGCATTGTTCAAAATAGTTGTGCTGCTTCATACCTCCCACATATAAATAAATAAATAAATTAATTAATTAATTAATAAATAAATTATATATATATATATATATATATATATATATATATATATATATATATATATATATATATATATATATATATATATATATATATATATAAATGAACGGATGAATGGTTAAATAAATTGAATTATATGTTAATTACACATATGGCATACAAATTCATTTTTTGGGTTTTAAATATGTCACATAAGATACATATATTTAAAAAAATGTCGACTAACACATACATTTTTCAAGAGTTCACACTTAGTTGACACTTTTCAAGAGTTCACATTTCAAGAGATTTACACCCAGTTACTTTAGGTCTCGAAAGCTTCCCCTGCTAAAGGAGGAAAAGGGGGAGATGGGGTGGATGGGGGGTTTCTTCAAAAACGAAGATAAGGATGGTAGGATGAATGGGCTTATTTATTGGAGGCTAGAATTCATCTGGTGATAGGTAATGCGAGACCAGCCATTTTTCAACAATTGCAATTACAAATGTGGTCATAAATATTTTAGCTATAATTTTATATATGTAATTATATATTTTGGAATAAATGTAGCATGTATGACATTTATTTGAAATATGTCAAATTCAAATACGAACTTGTGTGTCATAAATATAATTTGCATATTTTTCCTTCTCTCAAAATGCAATGTGGGTTTTGTGGAAACCATAAATTCAAGATAATTTGATAAACAAAAAAGAACAAACAAAACAAAAACAAAACAACATTTATTTGAATCAGAAAAGTGCTGAAACATCATCAATGTGTTCACTGTCACTTTTTTTTTATCAATTTTTATGAATATTTAATTTCAAAAGTATTAATTTATTTCAATAAAATTAATTAAATGTTTAATATCAATAATAATACAAATAATAATAATAATAATAATAATAAAATTATTATTATTATTTGTATTATTACACTACCACCCCTACTACTACTACTTCTGCTAATATTAATGATAATAATTATTAATATAATAATAATTAATATAATAATAATTATAATAATAATAATAATAATTATAATAATTATTATTAATAATAATATTATTATTATTATTATTATTATTATTATTATTATTGTCAATATTATTATTGTCAATATTATTATTATCATCATCATTTGTTATTATTATTATTATTATTATTGTCAATATTATTATTATTATTATTATTGTTGTTGTTGTTGTTAATATTATTTTTATTATTATTATTATTGTTGTTGTTGTTATTAATATTATTATTATTTTTATTATAGTTATTGTTATTAATATTACTTTTTATTTATTTTATTCATTCATTCATTCATTCATTCATTTTCTTTTCGGCTTAGTCCCTTTATTAATCCGGGGTCGCCACAACAGAATGAACCGCCAACTTGTCCAGCAAGTTTTACGCAGTGGATGCCCTTCCAGCTGCAACCCATCTCTGGGAAACAATTATTATTATTATTATTATTATTATTATTATTATTATTATTATTATTATCATTGTTAGTATACTACCACCACTACTAATAATAATAATAGTAATTTAATATAATAAAAACAACAATAATAAAAATAATATGATAAAAAATAGTTATTATTATTATTATTATTATTATTATTATTATTATTATTATTATTAACTATAATTCTTTTTAACATCAGCCTTTTAACCCTGATCTGATCTCCAGAACCGCAGACACATTTTTAGGTGTAACTTGGGTGTAAATTGCAGGTTTCTGTGAAGGTGTAATTGCTGGGTTTGGTCAGTGTGTTTGGGAGTCTTAATTACCTGCAGACCAGGATGCTTTTCTGGTCGAGGATTTGCATCTTTATCAACAAGCATCAAGATAGTGTGCACTGCATGAAGGGCCTGCTCCTGTTTCACACACACAGAGAAAACACTGCAGATCCGCCACCCAGTGGACAAATACATTTCTATACTGTGTGGAAATGAAGGATGTGTTTGCATTGATGCAGCTGGGGATGATTGATTTCCTCACCTGAACCATGAGCAGTGATTTGTAGAACACAGAGGTTAAAGGGCACTTCCTGCTGTCAATCACTACAGTCAGACCCAACTCTCTGACCTCCGACCTGAAAAAAATTAAAAATAAAAAACTAAATAAAATAACAATAACATTTTACATTGTGCGATTATTTGTATTAGTTAATAAAGAAATAATAAAAAACAACAGGCATCAAAAATGTATTAACATAAAGAAACAAAAACTGTCTGCATGTAATTTACAACTTGTGCTTTGCTTCAACTTATGGGTAGATTTTCATCTTTCTGTTCTCATGGTCACTTACTAAATAACATGTTTATATGCTCTTTTCATACTGAGGGTATTATTAAACTTCTATTATTATTATTATTATTATTATTAATAATAATAATAATAATAATAATAATAATAATAATAATAATAATAATAATAATAATAATAATAATAATAACTCTAACCTTCATTAAGACACAATAAAATTAATGCTTTACCAAAACAATGTAGAAAGTATAAGAGCAATATTAATACAGATGATACAGATGTAATATCAGAGTTTCAGAATTTCGTTGTATCCTTTTAGTTTTAATATTTATATTATTATACATTAATATGCACACTTCTCAATTTACACATGTCTGTAAATGTAATTTTATTAAATTATAAACAACATAAATCTACTAAAGACTAAACTAGAAGAATCTAAGTTGTTGCTAGAAGGGATACAGCTGCGTCTGGAAGTTTATTCATTCATTCATTTTCTCTACAGCTTAGTCCCTTTATTAATCTGGGGTCGCCACAGCGGAATGAACCGCCAATTTATAGTGCATGTGTGTCCGGAGGTTAACGATAATATTTTATATTATTTATAAAATTGTCAAGTAATTGTGTTTTATCAACGTGTACCCTAAACCTAAAACAAACCATCACAATAATGTAAAAACAGTCATTCATTCATTCGTTTTTCTTGGGCTTAGTCCCTTTATTCAGCAGGGGTCGCCACCGCGGAATAAACCGCCAACTATTCCAGCATGTTTTACACAGCTCCAACAGTCATACAAAACACTAATTAAACCAAGTATTTCTCATATTATTTCTTAAATTACCCTTTAAATTTTATTTGATTATTGCCAACCCTCACGGTAATGTAAAAATATTAATTATTGTTGTACAGTGTCACACAACTATACTGTAATGTGAGTATCCGCAGCTGTATCCCATCTAGACTTGTTGAGTGTCCACCACCCCTCACTGCCCTCTTGTGGTGATTGCGAACACTGCTGTGAGTTTTGTACCTGGGAATGGAGTGCAGGTACAGCAACAATCTGCAGAGCTCCAGAGGAGAAACCTGAGGGGAAATCCAGCCATTTCTGCCCCCGTACACCTCAACCACAGCCCGGCCAGCTCTGTCGCGACCGCCTGGGTGAGTAAGAGAACAGACTGAGTGACAAATAACAGAACATGCATGTGTTTCTGGGCTTGTTAAATCGTTTGTAGTCATCATTCACAATGCACATGCTGTAGTCAATCATACACCTGTCAGAGAAATTCACAGTTGGTCTTTCGAACGCTTTCAGTGTTTACATTTGATCTATTAAGCTTTACCTTTGTGGAATGGTGCAACTTGTAAAGTGCATGCTAAATGTTTGCAAGTAATTTACAAGATATGTTCATCAGCAATAGTTCAAACCTCTGAATTCACTTTAATATATGAATCACTTTAATATTAATACTTTAATATCTTTATTATTAATCATGTACTGACCCACATGCTGACTTTAATATCCGTATTACTTTAATATATCAATCACTTTAATATCTTTAATATTAATCATGTACTGACTGACATGTTGACTTTAATATTAATATTACTTTAATATATTAATCACTTTAATATCTTTAATATTAATCATGTACTGACCTACATGCTGACTTTAATATAATTATTACTTTAATATATTTATCACTTTAATATCTTTAATATTAATCATGTACTGACCCACATGCTGACTTTAATATAAATATTATTTTAATATATTAATCACTTTAATACTTTAATATTAATCGTTTACTGACCGACATGCTGACTTTAATATCAGTATTGCTTTAATATAATAATCACTGTATTACTTTAATGTATTAATTACTTTAATACTTTAATATTAGTCATGAACTGACCAACATGCTGACTTTAATATCAGTATTACTTTAATATAAATTTATTAATCACTTAAATACTTGAATATTTATAATTTACTCATCCAAACGCTGAAGTCTTTAAAGACTTTGCATTTTTATTATTGTGTGTGTGTGTGTTTGTGTGTGTGTGTGTGTGTGTGTGTATGTGTGTGTGTGTAAATTCTTCATAATTTTCTCACAATTTTTTTTTTTTTAAAGAACAAAACAATTGTTGTTAACCATTTCTCTGATTAGTATAAACATGCTCAGTCGTGATGCATTGTTGTTGTTGTTTTCATGCAAATTAAGTGCATGATTGGGAAGTCTAATTCAAAAAGCATGCTAGCAGTAGTCCATATGCTTGTGCATAATTTCCCAAATCCTCTGAAGTCATGTAATAGTTTTGTGTCATGTAAAATTTGTGTAGTCACAGCAAATTTCCCTCCGCAGAGATCTTAAACATTACTCAGGCCTGTATTAAATTAAACGATGGCGCCTTTGGTTTTCTTGGGTTTGTTTTGCAGACAAAGCTGCTGTCTCATGATGCTTCAAATGACTTATGGATGTCTAATTTTATTAAACTATATGTTGATGTTGATTAAATAAATGTGACTTTTAAATATGGGCTGAAATTGTCTGACTGAAGGGAATTTTTGCAATTATCATTTTCAGAGCAAATGCGGAATTAATAGAGCAGAGTTCTATTGACCCCACTGTTTAAATGGCCAACTTTACAGCAGAAAAAAGGTGTTCACTGCCTGGTACAAAGAACGATTTTGGTTCATATAGCTAATGTTACCCTTTATGACAACTGTGAGGGGGGCGATTTTTTTATAGCTCATCCGTTTGTTTATATTGTTACAGTATATTAAGTGTGCATAATTAAGGGCGTGGCCACTTGAGTGACAGCTAGGTCTCGCTGGTCGCCTTCACCTGATTGGTCCCTTGTTTGGTATGTTGATACATATTGCTACATAAATATAGTTTTGCGAGATAGTTGAGTAGCACTATTTAACAGTTGTGACAGTTTTTGGCAGCCTGATCTCACGAGGAAATGTAAGTATTTTACGTTTTGTCAGTTTAGTGGCTAATTCGTACGAATTTGTACGAGTTCAGTCGTATGAAAATGTACAATTTTAAAAAGGAGGCGTGGCACCCAACCCCACCCCTAACCCCAACCGTCAGTGGGTGATGAGCAAATCGTACAGAATTGTACAAATAAGATCATGCTAATTCACACGAATTAGCCACTAAATGAAAAATTTACGAATTGCAGTGAGATTGTGTTGGTTTTTAGGTACAGAAATTAAATAATCACAATGCAAAGAATTTTTTTTTTTATTTGCTTTGTCTTATTATCTAGTCCAAATATCTAAAAGTATTGTAAGTAAGAAAATTGTTTGTGTTAAATCTCTAAAGAAATAAGGGAAAATTAAGAGTTTTTCCTTAAAAAAGCTAAATGGGGGATGTTAAATAATTTTATAAATAAGCTTTCGCTTTGAAATGTAGATATTTGGACTAGAAACAAAGACCGTTTTTTTGCTGCATAAATCATATAAATTCAGTATAAATGCATAAATAATTCAATTTGTGTGTGTTGAGCATCAGTTAAGACAATGTCAGCACCTGTCATTTGGTCTGTCACTTGCGAACAAAATGGTGATGGTTGGCCACGCCTACTTGTAGCTTCTTTTGCGTTCTTCAGAAACCTATGGGTGACGTCACGGGTACTACATCCATATCTTTTACGGTCTATGTTTCATAAAGTGCTCAGGCTAGGCTTAATCCAAAACGTAAGATCAATTACCTTTTGTCTAACTGTTGGTCAAGGCCAAATGTTACTATTCTATTCTATTCTATTCTATTCTATTCTATTCTATTCTATTCTATAGGTAAATTATATTCTATATATTTTAAGTGCGGTGAGATGGTGGCATGGTTGCTGGTTCGAGTCCTGGCTGGCTCAGTTGGTGTTTCTGTGTGGAGTTTGCATGTTCTCCCCGTGTTGGCGTGGGTTTCCTCCAGGTGCTCCAGTTTCCCCCACAGTCCAAACACATGTAGTAGGTGAATTGAATAAACATAATTGGCCATTGTGTGTAGTGTGTTGTGTGAGAATATGAGAGTGTATGGGTGTTTCCCAGGACTGTGTTTGCATCTGCTGCATAAAACATATGCTGGATAAGTCGGCGATTCATTCCGCTGTGGTGATTACTGATAAATAAGAGACTAAGCTGAACGAAAAGGAATATAAAAGTGTATAATGTGTCATTTGTGATGCAACTCAAGTCTTTGTTTAGCTATCAACCAAAGTTGTAGCCTTGAACTTAAACCACTAAAGCACAACTCAAAACTGATTAGGAGGCATACAGTACCTGGGAGGCAGATGATGCCTAGCTGAAGAAGGCTCTTGATCGTGGGGTCCTGGGAAATATAAATGCCCTGAATTTCAGTCACAGACTGGCCAGTCGTTGGCTGATCGGAGTGCTGGAGCTTCTGGAGCTCCACTCCATTTACAACTGGAGCTCCAGCTTTTCCAGATAAGGAGACTTCTTAGAAGGAGAGACAAATTACAGTTTAAGCATAACAGGACAAAACATGGTGATAAAAACCCACAGAAATTCAACGTTTTATTTCCCGAGATGGGTTGCGGATGGAAGGGCATCCGCTGCTTAAAAACTTGATGGATAAGTTGGGGGTTCATTCCGCTGTGGCGACCCCGGATAAATAAAGGGACTAAGCCGACAAGAAAATGAATTAATTAATTAAAATCAACATTTTAGTCTTTTTATGAACGTATTGCATGAGTGAAAATATGTGATCCTGAGCCACAAAATTGAAGTTGAGATTTATACATCGGTCAAAAAGCATAATAAATAAATAAATAAATAAATAATTAATTCTGCATTCCATTAATGCATGGTTTGGTAGGAAAGAACAATATTTGGCTAAAATACAACCATTTTAAAATCTAGAATTTGAGAGTCTAAAAATCTAGGAAATCGATATCATTCTTCATTGAACATAACCTTTACATAAAGTTTTAATGATGTTTGGCATGAAAGAAAAATCTTTTACCCCGAGGCCCGGATTGGCTAATCGGGAGGACTGGGAGAATTCCTGGTGGGCCGGTCCCTTTTTTTTCTGCGAGGGCCGGTGTCCCTAGCACCAGAATCTGTCGTTCTCAGCAGTCACACTTTTTAAAAATAATTTATTTATTTACTTGACCACAGCCTTCTTATTCATTATTTTACCGCAGCTCTGTTCTTTTTATCTATTTTCTCGTAGCCTCATGAGCAAGATGCAGCCTGCAGGTTAATGATGTTATAAGTAAACATTCATTATACAGTTGTTGCGATACAGTGGTTAGCATGTTAGGTTATGACGCCGCCAACCAGAGTTCGATCCTCGTCTGAGTAACATTTTTTTTTTTTCATTTTTATTGTTAAGACATATAATACTTTAAGGGTTGTTGAACATTTGAAGTTCTAAAACAGCTGTTTTCTTAAAAAAAGACGTGATAGTATAATTAGAAACTGAATTGAAAATGACCTTATTTTAATATAGTCAGTGGTGAACTGAGGTGGGCCGGTCTAAGACTTGAAACTCCAGGGCTGAAAAAGAGTCCCACTCCAGCCCTGTTTACCCCTAAATATATCTGATATACCCATGCAGCAGGGTTTTGTAGTCCAGCATCACATATATGTTGCAGCTAGATGGAGCTGTTGCCCTCCCCTTTAGAACATATTTAAGAAAATGACTTGTCCCATTTACAAAGACATCTAACAGCTTCCCCTATAAACGGGGAAGGATGTAGCTATGTCTGTTCCCTGCTTTGGCTCTTGGTCTTCATGAATGCTTTCATTCAGTTCTGCTGAAGAAAGACATCAGATGAAGGACTGCAGAGAAATCCCCTTGAGGAATGCCGTGCACACTCCTGACCTTTGGCCAGTGTCACATTGCACTCTTTTAAGATGACCTTTCAGAAGGGGATATTTTCTCCGCAGCAGAGGACTAGGGTCAAGGTCATCTGTAAATCACTTAATATGTGTCATGGAAGCGGCAACTAGATGTGGCCACATAGTAGTAGTTTGCACAACTGTACATATCAGTCACGTCTGGACATGCTTTTCATTTAAGGATAAAGAATCTAAAAAACAGCATGTTGGCCAGACGCCATGTTGCTTCAGGTGGTCTTTTGACAACAAAGTAAGATGTGGGGTGAAAATCTGTATGCAATTAGCTGACACGCAGCAGCAAGTAACCTCAGAGAGAATTGTTAGAATAGTTCTACTTATTTGACTCTGTAAGCAATCACAAGCACGGTCTCCTTTTACACGCAGAGGTCTAACCCAACTTACCCTTCCTTGCTTCTTGTGGTCTGTTTAATTTTGGGGATACCAAGTCAGCTGTGTGTTTAATTCCGTGGATAGCAGGCAACATGGGAATGATCTCTGGATAGACATCACTGTGGCTTCGGTTGGTCGGCTTGTTTGACTGCAGACACTGTCTGGCTGTTTCCGAGACTGATAAAGATGAGCGGGATTTAGACCTGCTTTTACCTTTGATCACCTGTACAGGTGAACCCGGGCCTCTTCCGCAATGCCTGTCATCACAGAAGACATTGCAATCCAAAAGGCTGTTCTCATTTCTGAATGGATTCTGGCTGATCTGGGGCTGAGGTGTTTGTTCGGTGATATGTGTTGGCTGATTTTGTGAGTGCTGAATAGGAGAGAAACCTTGTAAACATAGATTAGCATCATGTCTGTGACCACCGTGGTCAGGTAAAGCCCTGAGTCCCATTTTGGGTAAGTGTTGGGTTTTGGCATGCTTCTGGCCACTAATCCGCATGTGAAATGAATCTTGTCTAATGGCGTTGTTCAGACAGGGATGTCTTTTATCTGGTAAGGCCTTAGTTCCCAGTACAGTCTGAGGGAGATCCGGTTGCCCTGTGAGGAATGACTTGTGATGCTGTCTTGCTTGGACCATGCTTGTGATAAGTTGGGTCATATGTTGGTCAGGAGAGTCTGCGTTTTCCCTTGACTTACGGTCATGGGGCACGTTTTGACTTGGCTGTGTCGAGTTCTTTGGGCTTTGCTTTTGTTGGGCTGAGTTCTCAAAGGATTGCATCGGGTTTCTGTCTGCTTGGTTTGGTGTCTGGCCAAACATACAACTCGAAGGTTGAAGTCTGAGGCCAACTCCGTATCCCTCACAGCTTGGCTCAGCCTTCCCTGCATCCGTCCTTGTTTCATCTAGACAAGGCAGCATACTTGCTCTCTCAAAATTCACAGGGTTTCTGAGAGCTGCCATGTAGGACTGCCGATACCTGCATTTGGAATCTGGATCGTGTTGCATGATCTCAGATGGCTGTTTGTTTGGATTACAGTCCACGCCACATATGCTAACATTGCTCTTTGAGGAAGGTTGAGCTGTCCTGACTAGCTTGAAGCCTAATGGCTTCATGGGCATTGCTATTTTGTTTGGCACCAAAGTCTCTTTCTCCTTGTTGAACTCCAGCAGATCCACATATTCTCCTTCCAATTCCTGTGTTTGCCTGCTGTCCCAGGTATTAGGTGAGACCCAGCCAACAGGTTTTCCAGCAAAACTACTAATTGTATGTGCTTGATTAACCTTCACCAGTCTGCTACCACTCTCAACCAGCTGAACAGAAAGCGCCAAGCCGTCTATTGCAGGAACAATCCTAGTTTCCATCTCCAGAGGTAGGAAATCTACAACTACCTTAGACTCGATATCTGAAATCTCAGTATTAAGATCTCTTACGCGGATTGTTGCGGTTGAACATGGCTTTGAATCAGGCCAGACGTTCGATTTTGGCCTGTCAAGGAATTCTGGGTTGGCAACTTCGGTCCAAGGTACCTTCACAACCCCCTTGTCAGAGGACAGTACACATCTAGAAAGACGATTTCCTTGACGCCCCTCATTTATTTCCCTTAGCCAGGACTCTGTGAATATGCATGGATAAGAGGTCTCGAGGATTGGTGTCTCTTCAATTGTAGGACACTCCAGCACCCTGGAACCTGCTTGCAAGATCAGATTCTCCTGCCCCAGGAGGTCTTCCTGCACAAGAAGACTTTTGAGGACAATTCTGGCCGACTGTTCTCCGAAAGGTTCCACCTGCAAGTAGAAATCTCCAGGTCTGAGTAGCAAAGGATTGATGGCGGCAAGTTGGATCACCACACGGTCACTCAAACACAATGGCCAACCCTCACACTGGAACAGGACATCGGAATATGCAGCCTAGAGAACAAGAAAGACAGAGCTAGTTTGTTGATTCGCAGATAATTTCAGATTGACACATGTTATGACCACCAGATATTTAATAGTTTGGGTCTTGATGCCTTTTATTGGCTTGCACGCAAGCATTCTTGAATCCCCTTCAGAAGAAGCTGCCCTGCAAGGCCTTTGTTCTTTCTGAAGATAAAACAAAGCAATCTTGTGCTGAGTGGACAAGGATAAGTAGCATGTGGGATCTGTGCCATAAAAGTCCACATGGACGAAATGCCTGCACAGGAAACTGCTTTCATCTGGCCTCGAATACTAACATATTTTATCCTTTAAAGGCTTAGTTCACCCAAACATGAAAATGCATAACTGCCTCGCTCTTTTATCATTCACAGTGTTCTTGTACATGTGCATTTTGTATACAGTCCATGACCTGTCTGTCCTGGTGTCCCCCAAAAAACACCACACTGTAAAACCCAACAGTCAGCTTTATCAAATGAAACGAGTGTAGTTAACTCAAAATTGACTGTAGGTTAAATCTACTCATTTGAAAAGAGTTTTGAACTCAGTGTTAAAGGTAATGAGTTAATTAAATACCTGATTACTTTAACCTAAATGGAGTAAGTTCACAATACTCAAATTGTCTGTTGCCAACGGTTTCCTCAAACGGTTTGAGTTGCCTTAACTTATTGGGTTTTACAGCACTCCGTTGGTTTGAGTTCTCTTCATTCACTGAGTTTTACTGTGCTCAAATTGCTTCGATTACTCAAATGGAGTAACTTCCCAGTACTCATAGGATTAGTTTTTAAACTTAAATGGTTTGTTGCAATCAATTGCTCAAATGGTTTGAGTTAACTTCTTGGGTTTTACAGTACATAAAATAGTCCAAGCAACCACATATTTCAACCCTCATAAACATTTCTCAAAGTCGAAGTGTGCAACTTGTTTGTCTGACCGAGCAATTGTGAAATGACCTACTTCACTTAACAGACATGATTCATAAAAACTCTTTCTCTTGGCGTCAACTCTCAAATCTTTTTGTATGGCTTCAAATGACTTGCAATATAATACAGGCCTTTACACTATGGAGTTTCTTCTTCGTCTTCTATTGAAGGAAAACTAAGGAGAGCAAATAATGGTATATGTATCATATTTTGGTGCACTTGTCTCTAAATTCTTAAATTTAAAGCAAGCCACTTGATTTATTTAACATTTAGGTTGTTTTTGTACCGAGGGGCAGATGAACTTTAAATCCACTGGTGTTTTTATTGTGTTTGGTGTGTTATACTCACACAGGCGGCTTGTTGCACACTCTCTAGGATATGTTTGGCTGGGATAAGGAAGTTCAGCAGGCACTGCAGTGCATCTCCATGGTAACGTTCCTCAATGGTGCGAAAGAGTTGGCTGAGAACAGTAGGAGCGGTAGCCTCAAACGGAGGGAAAAGAGACGACAGGGCGCTCTGAATGGACCAGTCCAGAGAGGAAGGGTTCTGAGAAAGAGAGAGATTTATTTGTGTGTTAGTTACTGTATACCTTGTCCAAAGATGCATATAATGTGATATACGATGCTGCGACGAGCCCTAAACTCTTTCTTTAAAGATGTAAAATGGGGCTGTTGTCAAATGCCTGTGGCAAAATCTTTTCATAATTTCAACCCCACCTAAATCTCACTTGTTACAGAGCCAAGAAAAGAGACAATGAAGCTTGTCATGTCGAGGTTTTACTGCTTTAGTCTGCTCTAATCAAATGCACATTTTCCATTTTGCCATATCAAGGCCCAATCCCAATTCTACCCCTTAGCCCTTCCCCTTAACCTCTCGTTTTGTGCATTGCCATGAACGGGTAGGGGTGTCCTAATTTTCTTTAGCGTGAAGGCGTAGGGCTAAGGGGAAGGGGTGAATAGCCCTTCGAACAAAGATTTTTTCAGGACCACACTCGAAACCAAGGGGTAAGAAAATTTCCCAGAATACACCAGCCACAACGGCAGGATAGTTAAACCCGGAAGTAAGGAGATCCACAAATTAGTATTTTTTGTCATTATTTAGATTTTTTTATGACAAACAAACATGTTTTAATATTTTCATAACCGTGTCCGTGTTTTACCGCCATAAAAAAAATCGGAAAAATAAAAAACGCAAAATTTTGCGATCTATAATCCCTAATCATATCTCCTGTACAGCTTTCCCACAACATTCTGACAGTCGATGACACTGGAATACCCCGTCAGAAAAGTCTAGTGGCTGGGAATGAGCTTTTTACAGCATCTGCTATAATGTTAAAGTTGTTTTTGGTGTGTTTACATTGATGAATATGGCCACTGTGTTAAATGCACAGTATTACGATCTTAATGAAGATTTCCTGAAGATAAATACCAAAAAATAGCACAACTGGAATCACTACAGCAGTCGCCATCGTCTGATCTCATATGAAGCAAGAGCTCACGATGACATATGATGACGTGTGCAGGTGCTGTAGTGCTGTCTTAATTCTTAGGGGTAAATTTGGAAGCCCTTCCCCTTTCTCTGGCCCTTAAAACAGAGTGGGAAGGGGTAAGGGTACAAAAATAGAATTGGGATTGCGCCAAAGTCTCTTGCATTGAAATCCCCTCCACTTGCAGTTGTATATAAATTGTCATGCAAAGCATGACTGTTTTACCCCTACCTTACAGTAAAGATCAGTTTGTTTAACCTAGATAGACATTATTATGGATAGCCACATTGAGACCTCTTCTGGACCCCGAAAGTGTGAGTTTGTCCAAAATATACACCTCATTTGATTTGGTTTACCTCATGCAGGGGAGATTTGTATCATTAGTAGACAAGCACAATGAGGTAGAACAAAGAAAACACACAGTCTGAGAGTATTTATATGAGTGTTTATGTACCGAGCGTGTGTGCGTAATACAGAAACATCCCTATTCGTGCACATCTGAAGGCTTACGGCTATATATTTGATCTCCCAAATATTTATCATTCACGTTCCCCAGCCAGTCTTCAGTAATGAGGATGTCGGGCTCACGTTTCAGTTGTCCGACTTGGAATAATTTACAAAGCAGATGTGGGAAGAGCACTGGGAAAAAAATATGCCGGATTTATGTGGAAAAACCTATCCTCATTGACCTTGGTTTAAACCCAGATAGAAATGTTACATACACTGCTAGTTAGAGGCTGAAACCTATAAACCGCATGTTTAAAACACTTTTTATGAAGCTCCGTGCAATGATTAACCATAGCAAGAAATGCGTGTTTAGCCGGCTGAGGATATTTGTGTGTTTAGTCTATTAATCTTTTGGCTGTAGAGACCTCGAGGCTTCCTGATTAAGATGATTACAGGACCTGAGTGTGATCTCGCACAGGAAGTTTATGTCTGCCAGGGAAAGAACAAACATAAACAAATCCCGTCCTTTCTCGGGAAAGAACATGTAATGTCTCAGAGATTATATAAGCATAAACAAGGCAGGGTTAGTGTATTTCTTCAATTAAAATGATTTGTTTTAATTTAGCTAGTCATTTTTAATCTCACTGTTAGTTATTGAGATATTATTATGATTGGGTTTAGAGTGTTTGGATTGAAGTGCAGAAGATATGCACTATTTACCAAGACATCTTCACTGTTGTTATTGCTCATACTTGAGGTTAGTGATTTCACCAAACTCCAGCTTTTTGAATTTGTGTCTCATATTGCAGCCTTTGTTTGAGCTCCAGACATAAATGATTCCTCAGAGTCTGGAGTTCATTGAATCAGGCGGTGTGAACTCTGATGTCTTAGTCACTGGACGATACAGACATCAGATGTCTGCTTCGTCATGTACTCATCTATGAAATATGCACATATTGATGTTTATCTTCACTAGGCTGTCTCGCATGCTGATTTCTTGCTTTGTATTTCCAGTGATAAACACTAGAAATTACTAAAAATGTTAGAAACATTTATTTTGTGATTTTTAAAATGCATCGCAGTTCAGCCCTTAAATTGATTATGAGGTTAGTTTTAACAGCAGTGGGTGCTCTAGGTGCTCTATGATGCTGTAGGCTAGTGTTTAACAGCAGATGGCGCTCTGAGCTAGTTTTTTTATGACAGACGTTACTCTCTAGGCTAGTTTTAATAGCAGGTGGTACACAAGGCTATTTTTTATCAGCAGACGGTGCTCTAACCTAGTTTTTATCATCAGATGGCGCTCTAGGTTACTTTTTAACAGCAGACAGTGCTCTAGCTTAGTTTTAACAGCATATGTCGCTCTCTAGGCTAGTTTTTAAGAGCAGATGGCACTCTAGGCTAGTTTTAAGAGCAGACGTCGCTCTTTAGGCTAGTTTTTAACAGCAGACGTCGCTCTCTAGGCTAGTTTTTAACAGCAGACGTCGCTCTCTAGGCTAGTTTTTAACAGCAGACAGCACTCTAGGTTCGTTTTTAACAGCAGATGGTGCTCTGGGCTAGTTTTTAACAGCAGACGAGGCTCTAGACTACTGTTGAACATCAGACGTTGCTCTCTGCAAGCAGCAGTTGGCGCTCCAAGCTAGTTTTTAACAGCAGACAGTGTTGTAGGTTAGTTTTTAACCGCAGACAGCGCTCTAAGGTAGTTTTAAGAACAAATGATGCTTTAGGCTAGTTTTTAACAGCAGACAGTGTTGTAGGTTAGTTTTTAACTGCAGATGGCTCTCTAGGCTACAGTTTTAACATCAGATGGTGCTCTAGGCTAGTGTTTAACATCAGACGGTGCTCTAGGCTAGTGTTTAACATCAGATGGTGCTCTAGGCTAGTGTTTAACATCAGACGGTGCTCTAGGCTAGTTTTTAACAGCAGATGGTGCTCTAGGCTAGTTTTTAACATCAGACGGTGCTCTAGGCTAGTTTTTAACAGCAGATGGTGCTCAGGCTAGTGTTTAACATAAGACAGTGCTCTAGTCTAGTTTATAACATTAAATGACACTCTTAGCTTCATTAAAATACCAGACGGTGCTCTAGACTAGCTTTTACCAACCAAATGAAAAGAAATAAGACTTTCTTCAAAATAAAAATATCTTTAAAAATCCCCTTGCTCTGTTAAAACATCACATTATAATGTCACTGAGGGGGTAATCATTCTGTCTTCAACTGTATGCCATATACCTTCCACAATGGGCTTAATGATTAATAATTCTGAATGATTGTGGAAGGACACAATAGACTTTTGTTTAATTGTTAACTGAAGTGGTTTGTCTGGGCCGTGAGTGTGTGTGCGGCTCGTTCAGGGTGGTCCGCGTTTGGTGCATGTGGAACCTCTTCGCTCTTCTGGCTGACTTTCCCATCCTCTTCTTTTCTTTTTTTGTTCAGTAAACACATCTGCGCGGTCCAGATCTCCATCTCTCCATGGCTCTGGGCCCATGGTTCTGTTTACCCCCCATCAGTTCTTCTCCCGTTACACATCCACACCTCACATTTCCAAACACGGCCAAGTCAAACTTCATTTAGCAAATCCTCGGCATCCCAAATGAAGGATGTCTGGGGCCTGGCGTTGTTCCTGTAGTCTGGTATTTGCATTCAGGAGACCCTCAAATGCATTGCTCTCCCACTATTTGTGTAAATATCACCTTGGCTGAACTTTGTGAAGGTAATGGCTCATTTTGATATCTGGAGATTTTTATACTAATGTTAGACATTCAAAGCACTTTCTAGAATTAATGTTCAGTCTGTCTTCTCAACTGCACAAACCTTCATTTTAGTCGGCAGATTTGGTGCGACAACTTTCAATTAAATCTAAACAAAATATCTTCCCCTCCAGCAGTGCATAGGTTTGTCTATAATTAAACAAGACTGAGCTCAACAGGTAATTGCAGTTTAAGATGTAGTGTACTGTTTAAACACACAGAGGCTCAGCTGTTGTTAATTCTGGAGCTCGTTTTGTAGATTGATTCATTAATGTACATGTATGATTACTTTTTCAGCAGTATTCAGCGGTGTTTGTGAGGATAAGAATCTATGATATTTTAGTGCGTGTTCTAACTGAGGACATAAACATGTCAGTCAAGCTTTTAAGATAAGTTTATCCAATTTATTTGTAATTGGTAATTATACAAAAAGTGTGAAAATATTATTTGTTTGTGTTTTCACAGAAAATGGAGCAGGGTTATATTCAGTCATTCATTTTCTTGTCAGCTTAGTCCCTTTATTAATCCAGGGTCGCCACAGCGGAATGAACCGCCAACTTATCCAGCAAGTTTTTACGCAGCGGATGCCCTTCCAGCCGCAACCCATCTCTGGTAAACATCCACACACGTTCACACACACACTCATACACTACAGACAATTTAGCCTACTCAATTCACCTGTACCGCATGTCTTTGGACTGTGGAGGAGCACCCGGAGGAAACCCACGCGAAGGCAGGGAGAACATGCAAACTCCACACAGAAACGCCAACTGAGCAGAGGTTGGAACCAGCGACCCAGCGACCTTCTTGCTGTGAGGCGACAGCACTACCAACTGCGCCACTGCCTCCCCCAGGATTTTATTTTAA